CGCTATACGCGGATGCACTGCGGGGCACAAAGTAATCCTCGTGCGAGATTGTGTTGTGTTTTGAAGGCTCGGTCTCCATCATAATATGGGCAGTTTTCCCACTCAAACAGCTAACAATTGAGCTATATATAGCTGCTTTTTTTAGAAGCACTCTTTGACCAGAGGGTCAGAAATCTCATGTTTCAGATGTTTCCCTATTAATTTCCCTCTCTCTCGCTACTTTCTGAAGGTGTGGCAGATCGGCATCCAAAGAAGGAAACTCGTTGACATAAGACGGTGGAGGAGGGTTTGTATTATTAATTACTCGAGGGAGCGCTCACAATGACTGGTCCACTGCTGGCAATGATGGTGATGACTCCAATGTACACGGCTGATGCCTGGGCTCTCATTGCAGGCATACACACATCCTGTACACAAAACATATTACCACATTCAATACGGAAGCAATTTGCGGTCGAAAATTGATGAATGTTAGTTAATTCAATATGAAAGCAATTTGCGGCTGAAAACGGAAGTTATGTAGATGAATATTAGTTAATCCATACGGAAGCAATTTGCGGTTGAAAACTTATCAGTTAGATAAATAATATTGTTAACTGCAGGTTTAGGAACAGGATGTCCTAGTTAGAGCAGTGAACTCACCTGAATGATGACTTCTCACTAGCTAGCTATACACCTAAGTTTAGGACTAGGACGTGCCTAATTAGAGGGGCCAACTCACCTGGACGATGGCGGCAGCAGGACCCAGCCAGGTCTCAGCTGTGAGGTAGGCCAGGAACAGTAGACCGTAAGACTCTCTGGCAGTTGGGGCCAGCAGTACTGCTATGATGCAGGGAGCTGCAACTAGCTGACTGCCAGCTATGACAAATGGCTTTGAGCCTCTCCAGCGAGATGATAACCTGCAAACACAACCCCACACTTACAGCGCCATTCCACTTTATTTGCTTACATAGTCGTAGCTTTTAAAATGCAAGTGCCCAGTGTTGCAATAACTAGGGGTATCAAAATTATCGAGGTTAATGACGTTAGACATTCACTGTGCGAGAAATATACACACAGAAATTCTGTCCCTCTATTATTCTATTGGGAGTTTACCGACTCTTGAGGATAAAAGGAAATAGCACTTGTATTAGGTTGTAGGGAGTGCTGCTAGGGTTACAGTTGGAAGCAAGAGGACTGGACTAGTGCAGTCGTGAGAAGCTGACCTGTCTGACACAAACCCTCCCAGAAATGAGCCCAGCCCTCCTCCAAATATGATGGCCAGCCCCACTGGTATCCCATAGTCAGAGGCACCGTAGTTTCTCTTGAAGAATGTCGGTAGCCACGCCCCCAAGGCGTAACCTGGAATGTTCCTGACAGAGGCAGCCACCAACAGCAGTAGGAATGGTGGATTTTTCAGTAGATAAACTAACACCTCCTGCACGAAAACAGCAATGGAGGAGAGACATTCTTAGAGTGTTTCAGTCAATCAGGTGTGAACCCCCGTTCACCCTGTCGCAAGAATGAGAACTGTTTGTAGATGGCAATTATGAAATCTACCGCATAATTTGATGGGCTTTGTGCATGGTTAATTCCAGTGATTACTACAACTTTTGCACGTCTATAGTTAATTTTAAAAGGGAATGTGGCAGTACATAAGGGCTAAATTTAGAAATGTTACAATAGGATGTAGCGCGAGAATTTCTGTAACAATATCTAAATTTAGCCCTTATATATTATAGCTACAGTGCTTAACATTATACAGACCACTCATAACTAGCTAGTTTTATTGAATTACCCTAATACTGTAGGAGGTCTTTCCTCTCCGTCTGGCCTCTCTACTGGCCTTGACGGAGGCAGGCTCCCACATGGAGAGCACAGCCAGTGGCACCATCACCAGACCGGCAATCCCGAGAATGTGAAACGTCCATCTCCAGTTGAGAGGGTGGCTGACTGCACCCATCATCCACCCCAAACCTCCTCCTACAATATATACATTACGAGAATGTCGGTATATGGGAGATTACGACATGATGTATACACTTTTGACTTTTGAGGAAAATTCGTTGGAAAAATGTATCAGACTGGGTGCCAATTGTGCAGATACACGGTGGAACCCCTCTCTAAGGACACACACACACCAACTGAAATGCTTTAGGGAAACGTACAGTGTTGCTATTCCACATATTCAATGGGTTAAAGATGGTTGATTTGCCGTATATATTTCTGTTAAACCCTTATTTAGGAGTGAATGAATGAAAGGGAGAGACTTCAACATGCAAATTGCTGGGGTAAAATCAAAGAGAATGTTACTATTCCACACTCCAACAGTACTTAAACTAATACATATGTTTGGTTTGTCATTTCTTTTACGTACGTCCCTGCAAAAAATGCAAAACCGTTCAAACCCTCACTGGGAAGTGGGGGGCGGGTACATGAAAGAGAGCAGTGAAGTAGAAGCGAGATAGTGTTGCTATTCAACCCTTCAACTATAGTCAGAGCATTAGGGAAGCTCCGTTTGTCATTTCGTTTACGTACATCCCTGCACAAATTGCAACACCGTTCAAACCCTTATTTGGAAAGGGGTGGGGGGTGAAAGAGAACAGTGAAGTAGAAGCGAGATAGTGTTGCTATTCCACCCTCCAACTATAGTAAAAGTATTAGGGCAGCTTGGTTTGCGATACTCATGCTCCTGTAAAAAATGACCCTTATTCGGAGAGGGGGTAAGGGGAGGGGTGAAGGGGCAGCGAAATTGCAATAAGCAGAGCAAGATATGGTTGCTATTCCATCTATAGTCACAGTATAACGGATAGTTGGCTTGTCTTTTCATTAACTAAATTGCCTACAAAATGAATGTCCCTCAAAGCTAATCAGTGCAAGTTGTATCTAAAAATATTTTCCCGCTCTACTACACATTTCCATCACCTGATTACTGATCTCACAGAAAACGGTTACCAAGAAAACTCAGAATTGCTCACCGAGGTACACTCCATAGTGGTAGACGGAGAGGGCAAATGCTCTGTGTTGACTGGGAAAGAAATCAGCCAGCAGAGAATAGGCCACTGGGTTACAAGATGCCTGCAGTACGGGGAATATGTTGCTTGACAAAGGAGGAATTTGTGCCTTCACTTGCGCTGTAAAAACCCCATTGCATTTGCTTACCCACACAACTTATGAGCCCGAACATTGTAAACACGAGTATATTCTCTTGAGTGTCAAACAAACTCTTACACTATGTAACCCTGTTATGTGCTCCAGCCATTATGCTACATAATGCAGTTCGTGTGGCCAAAGTCAACAATGATGCATACAAACAGACCTCTCCAACTCCGAGCAGGATTCTAAGGACCAGGAGCTCCCAAAACTTGGTGGTGAAGCCAGTCACTAGAACCATGACCGACCAGAACGTTAGACCCAGCACTAGTACCAGCGGGCGTGATCTCGTATCAGCCAATCTGGCCAGGGGCAGACCTGCCAGCACATATATCACTGTAAACGCTGGACCTGAGTGAGTAGCAGATGAAGTTTGCATAAACACAGATTGAAAATGAAGGTCACATAGCTAATTCAGAGCTGAGTTCCCAAAGTACAGAAAGGGAGTATAATGATGATGAAAGTTATAAGCTGCTGGAAAGACCTCTCAACACAGAGATTTGAAAATGAATTCAGGTCATGCATGTAGGTAAACATGCAAAGAAATAAGCATTCCCAAAGGGTAGGAAACTATTTCGTTATATTTTTGGCTCTAGTATATAGTAGCCTACAGTACGCACCAGTCAATAGTCCTTGCTGGTCATCATCGAACTGGATACAGTTCCTGCTTGAGCTGGTACCGTTAGAGTGTGCGCTAGAGCCGTTTCCTCCTACACCGCTGGCGTTGTAACTGCCGCAGTCCTCCTTCCCCTCGTCGCACCTCAGTCCGTTGGGGATGACGACGGGCAGCACCAGTCGGTCAGCCTGGTTCAGGACGTACACCGCAAGTAACACGAGCAGCAGGACCACTGCAAACGGAGTCACTCGCTCCGTCTTCCCGTCCGGAGAACTCCAACTGTAGAAGCCGCGCGGTAGGAAACTCGGGCATTTCTTGGTCTCCCGTTTATGCCCAGCTAGTATGCTCGTCCCGTGTGCTCCTGATTTCCCGTCCAAGGAGCCCTCCGTGGAATCGTCCGCCGAAAGAGACCGTAGTGTCTGCGGACACGCGCGACTTCTTTTCCAGCTGCGTCCTAATCTCCTTGTCATCTCCGGCGTTTTCTAAGAGCTTCTCCGTCTCTTTAGGGTGAGACTCGAGCTCTGCGCGGAGTCCTCTGTGCGAAAAGTCGGCCATTTCGAGCTCAGTGGCTAAGTCCATCCAGCAAAGGCTGCAGCATAGCATGTGATTCTAGTAGGGGGTGGGGCTTGTATCGTGTGCCGTGTCCCGATTCTGCGAAGTACATTCCAAATATTGCCCACCAACCTTGTCAGCTGTTCTTCTTCAGTGTCTGTGATTTATCCAGCCACCGCACCGCAAGGCATGGATGGTGGCCGTGCAGGGGGAGAAGATAGTGAGAATGAGGAGGGGAGGGAGGCTACAGAAAATGAAAGTGGAGGTAAGCAAGCTGCACATCATGAGTCAGGGAAAAATGTCTTGTTTTCTTCAGAGGGAGAAGTTGCTGGTTTGGACATGGGCTCCAGTCTCAGCCAGGGTGTGTGGGTCAGCCAGCAGCCAGGGCCCAGTGGCCTCCATTTCTCCCCGCACTCCCTCTCTTCCTCACTGGGGGGTCTGAATTTTACCTTGCCCCCTCCACAACCTGGTCCATCTAGACCACCTCAGGTATGGAGCAATACATGAACTACATATCTTAACATTCGTGTCTATGGAGTCCACATGTATAATTATGTAGGAATACCGTATATAACTTCAGAAGGGAGAAAACTTTCATGTTCCAATAAAATCACGAATTTCTCCAATTTGATTGTGGAGACTTGCGGATAGTAAAAATTGGCAAGATTTTCTCCCTCTAACTTGTATGTATGCCTGTATGTATTACACGCTATGTCGTAATATGCAGGATGTGTTTGCCGTGTCTGAATCTCAAGACGTTTTAGGAGGCGGAGCTTTGCAACAACTGAACTTTGACCCCCTTCCCTCACCTCTTCAGCCGAGTACACCACCAAGTAATCAGAGTCTCTCTCCTTCTCCAACGAGGCAGGAGCCGAGACAGCAAGTTGTTCCACCTGCAATAAGACATGTGGTACCCCAGCCGCCGGTAGTCCTACCTGGTGGCCAGCCTCAGTCAACACTGCCCCGGACTCACGGTGGAAGTGATCGCCCGGCTCACGTTCCATCCATATCTGAGATAAGCAGCAGCCAGTCGTCAGACGAAGATCTGAGATTGAGAAGACCTCCGGTTTTGCCAAGTTCACTTCTCAGGTCTCACTCTGCGTGTCTCCCCGTGCAGAGACTGGACCAGCCAACCTCAGAGTCGTCTGGGACCGACGGTATGGACCAGGCAGTGGTGCCTGACCCAGAGAGACAGAGACAGGCTGCTCTAGAGAGAGCCAATAGGTACCCTCAGGCTGTACCCAAAGCTCCCTCCAGACTGAGAAAAGAATTGGTACGCCAAGATGCTATTGTAGTGTCATATTTGGACTAACTCTGTTTTAGTGCACAGGCCTTATGACACTTCACATAATGCTTGTCTTTACTTGCCTCTGCAAAATTTGAGCCAATGTTGAGTTTCGTTTTATCAGGAGCTTATGTTCCGTCCTTCGTGTACCTCATAAGCTCCTTGTTTTATGCATGTAAATTCTAAATCATGTACATGTGACAACGCATTACTCTGCCTTTCCTTACCCTTTGTCTCCCAGAGAGCTCGAGAGAGGCATGCCTCGGCCTCCTCCTCTCTCCCTGACTCATCTCAACCATCCACCTCCGGAGTCTCCCACCTCACTCCCCACACACACTCCACTCCTCCTCACCCCTCACACCCTGCCAGCTCGACCACTGCCAGTGAGGACCCCAGCAGCTCTAATGACAGGGAGTCCACCCCACCTCTGGAGCCAGAGTCTGCATACGAATCTGCAGGGTCTCTCGTGCCGGAGGCGGGGCCAAGCCACACCCCACAATCAGTCGGTAGCAGAGGGGAGAGAGGAAGCCATGCCCCCCACACAGCTGGTGAGGGACGACAGAGTGGGGAGGGGACAGGCAGAGGAGGAATGGATGAGGACGATACTCAACCACTGGACTTGACTCCGACTCGAGAGGAGCCGAGTCACGGAACAAGAACACAATCTTCCATCAGATGTGCGTTGTATATATATTATACTGTACATGTGCTTGCACTGTTAAAACCTTTTGGTATATGTGTCATGCTGTGCTTTGTTCTTTACGTAACTTTATCTCTCACATTATAATGTTATGATCATGATGACTGTGTGTGTGTTGCTGCAGTGAGCTCCGGACACACCTGGTCATCATCCGCTACCTCCTCCAGTACTGTCAGCAGCAGCTGTGTCAGCTTACAGAAGATGAGAGGACAATGTACCCACACTCGAGGCCAGCCTTGAGGAGGCCAGAGAGGGAGAGGATGAAGGAGAGACTCAGCCATTGGATCAGTCCACGTCACCATTTGCCAAAGATACGCAGAGTCCAGAGTAAGACTCTAGTTCCACAGCTCTATGTACATACATACATGCTCCTTGTCAGTTGCCCTACTCCGGATATGTGAGGGAAAGGTTAAAATTTGCCATTCCCCACTTAATGTCAATAATACAGTACTCCCTCCCACAATACAATTAGATGCTATAGATTTGATACACTGGTCCACTATGTGTGTACATCTTTCTATGTGATGTTATACTTTCTTTCATCTTATTGCTTCCCCTCTGTTTATCGTCAAGTATGGTGAGTGGTAGAAGAACTGGTGGAGATAGTGTAGCAGAGACAAGCCTGGAGACTATTCCTAGCACTCCTGTCGGCTCTGTGGAGCCCTCTCTTCCTCCTCTGGTGGATAATGCTGCTGCAGGTATATATATACATACTATAACTGCTTATGATGTTTAGCTAGTGGCAAATGGATACTTTTTGTGGTGTTTTTCACTAGATATGCATGCCTGCTAATAGGAGTTCAATGTCAAGGCCAAAAAATTTGCACAAATCCATCAGCTAGCTAGTGGCACTTTATCTGGTGGCTGTTTACCAATTAGGTGCCACGCTTTTCGTGTTTGCCGGCAAATATTTGCTGCATTGATCATCCTGGTATATTGAATACACATTATGTCACTTGAACTTTATATGTATGTACATATGTCTGCAGGTGGTGTGTCGGCATCTCAGGACCTCTTCCACGACAATACCCCACATCCTCTGGCAGCCACACCTTCTCTGGATCAGGTATGTCAGTTTTTTTCGTTCCTAGACCCGGCACTACTTGTTTTCTACGTTGTGGTGTTCGTATTACTTATCCAGGATCCATCGTGGTATCCCTCTGCGAGACAGCGGGAGGAGGGGGTGGAGCGGAGGGAAGGGGGAGGGGTGAGAGAGGGGGGAGAGGGGGGAGGGGTGAAAAGACAAATCTCCACAGACACAGAGAGTGGCTCTAATGAACTGCGACCACCTCCTCCTCCTCCTCCACGCAAGAAGAGAAAGTTGAGTGGATCTGGTCTCAGCTGTTTACAGGTGAGCTGTGATCTTTTCAAGTACGCACGTACTACCTCTGCTGGTGTACTGTAGAGTATATTCACTCACATGTATTTCCTAAATCTCGTAGTAAGTGCCCATGCCCATGTCGCAGCTTCCTTGTGCAACTCGCATAAAACATGTCAATTGGAGTGTGTTCCAGTCAAGCAGTCCATCCATTGAAAACTACACTTATTAGAAACGTGTCCTTGCATTGTACGGGTGTTAGAATCCCAAGTCTAGTCGCTACATTTACTCACCTATTAGACTTGCTTCACGGTGCCAAATTTTTACTGATAGATTGTTGATTTTTCATCTATGAACCTGTCCAAACCGCTGCAGAGGTGGGAGGAATCAGAAGGGAGAGGATTGAGTCAGGGAGACAAGGACACCTCCAGTGGCAGTTCTGGGAGCAGTTACGGCAATTCCTCTCACTCCACACCGCCGAGCTCCGGGGGTTCGACCAGCAGCTCTTCCCACCACAGCTCAACACCGCAGAGCTCTGGAACTGACGGCAAGGGAGGGAGAGGAGAGGGAGGAGGAGGAAAGGGAGGAGGTGGTGGCAAGGGAGAACCTTCTTCACCTGAGAATTCATCTCAATCGCCATCTTCATCATCGAGTCGGACAGAAACTGGGAGAGAAGGAGAAAAGACGGAACAGTCAACACCGCAGAGCTCTGGAACTGACGGCAAGGGAGGGAGAGGAGAGGGAGGAGGAGGAAAGGGAGGAGGTGGTGGCAAGGGAGAACCTTCTTCACCTGAGAATTCATCTCAATCGCCATCTTCATCATCGAGTCGGACAGAAACTGGGAGAGAAGGAGAAAAGACGGAACAGTCAGACTCTGTGAAAATTTCAGAGGAAGTTGACTCTCTGGACAACGTGTCTTCCAAAAATGTATCTCTCTCCTTCTCCACTGCTCCTCTGCTGGACCCCAGCCCTGGACGAGATGCAGATCGTAGTAGTGTCTCCATACCTTCCAGTCTTCCGTTGTCCTCACTGGAGAGCTGTATAGTGACTAGTACCCCTCAAGAGGGGGAGAACGAAAAACATTTCTCACTCGTAAATGTGTCTTCTCTCTCCGTCGGTTATGGAGGAACCAAAGAAGAAGTGGAAGAGAGAGGAGGAGGAGGAGGAGATGTTGAAATGAGAGAGGAAGATGAAGATAGTGATGCGACCACGTTAGGGGGCAGTGATACAGAGTGTGGAGATGAGAGAACCGGCGAGCCGGAGACAACTGCTAGGAAGGATAGTATCCCTGCTGCACCAAAAGAGAAAGACCAGGGACACGGTGATGAACATGCGTCCTCATCATCCTCTTCGTGGAGGCTGGTCTGCTCTGCCAACACCAATACCTACTCCGAGACTAAATCATCCGCTGGCTCCGCCTCTGACCACACCCCCAACCCCCAGTCGTCGTCGCAAACCCTCCACCTCTGTCTCTCGCAGGACTCCCTCCCATGTTCGGAGCTTCCTCTAGTCATCGACCTACCACAGTCTCAGTGCTCTCAGTCGTCCACTCCTGAAGATGAGAACGGGCCAACTGCTGTCGCCCAGATAGCCAAAACCTGCTGTGAGAACTCTGAGAATCAACGTCGCCGGATTGACACGGGGAAGATTGAACTTCCGTCCCTCGTGAGAGAGAGTAAGAGTGGAAATGGTGGCGAAGAAGAAAGGAATGAAGAGGGAGGAGGAATGAGAGAGGAAGGAGAGGCAGAGTTAATCAGAGAAGCCTGGAACTTGCTCCAGAGGGAGAGAATGAGCGACAGAAGCGGTGCTCTCCTCTCCCCAACGGAGTCACAGGAGACGCGGGACGAGGATGACGGTGGGGAGTGTGTGACGGGGGGAGGAGGGGAAAGGAGAGAGAGGTGCTCTGAGGGGTTCTCCCTGAGAATTAGCCAATCTCAGACCACACCCACTCAGGAGAAAACCACACCTCCTCCGACCGACAAAGCCCCCACTGGAAACTTAGCTGAAATGAGTGGAAACGCTGCTCCCCAAACGAATCGAACCAACTCTAACTCGCATTCAGCTATCAGTGGAGACATTCAGCCAACAAACAGTAGTAGAGGGACTGGCAGTGGTACGACTGGTATCGGGACAAGTGTGGTTCAGGACGAGGCCCGAGCTCGTCCTAAACCAGTCTACGAGAGTATCGCTCTCTCTGAATCCACCGGGTTTCTATCATCGCCTCTTCCTCCATCTTCGCAGTCTGACCAGCTCCTCCCATCCTCACATCCACACCCCTCACAATGCTCACACCCTGCCCACAGCTCACAAACTCCACAAGTCCCCAGCTCCACGTCGTCCCAGCCTCACGGTAACGACATCTCCCAGGCCTCCTCTTCGTCTGCCGGGACACCATTTCAATTCCAGCTTCCTCAGAGTGGGGGCCTCCTCATACCTCACCAGTACACCTCCCCTCCATCCCTACACACACCCCTCACACCCTCCCCCTCTCCCCCTCCTCACCCTTCCACTGCTACGACACAGGGAGAATCGGCGAAAAAGAAAAATCCAGTTTCTCAGGATGTTCAAGATGGTCAACCAACACACCATCTATCTCAGTCTACTGAAGAATCTAGCAAGAAGAAAAAACAGCGAAATCTGAGGTTGAAGAAGTTCTATGGAGGGAGAGAACCAGCGAGATTTTCTGAGAGACCCAGAGGACCTGGACTGCATCAGCTGGAGCAAGAGAAGGAACACGCACACGCAGCTGGAGGTTCACGAGATGGAGGAGGAAGAGGAGGATTTGTGCTAGTGGGAGCGACAACCCCGCGAGACGAGGAGGTAATTGGAGGAGACGACTCGCAGAACGAACTAGAGATCAACATTCCTGGAGACAGTCAGTTTGAGACCTCTGCCGATTCTCAGAGACTTCTAGACTGTCCCATCGAACCCCCCTCTGTCCCTGCACCCTCGGACCCTCGGGGGCCAATTTGCCAGACCCCACCCCCTTCTGTGAGGTCGAAAATTTCCTCGTCGACCCAACAATCATGGACTGTACCTCCACCAAGACCACAGACATCAATATTCTCAAATGTACTCACATCACGGAGGAAAACTGTGGATCGAGCTAGCGAGACTGTTGACAGTGGAGGTAGAGATGTTGATCCTTTCCACTTTGATTCTGAGAGTCAACCGGCTGAGTTTATACTTCGGAGAAAGAAGAGGAGGAGAGACGATGATTGTGAGGGTATGGAGGGAGGGGAGGAAGATGATTCGAATGGTGTGTCAACAGTTTGTAATGATAGTCCACAAGTGGAACCGTCTGAGACCAATAAAACTAATTCCACCCCTCCCTCTGCCCCTGTTATTACGAGCTCGCTCTCCCCTTCGTGCCAACCTCACTCCTCCACCCCCTCCCACCCTCCCCCACTCCCTCATCAACAACCAACCGTCACCGGAACATTTCCCCAAACTCCAGCATCGCACACTTTCGCACCCTCCCCTCATCAGTTTCTCCCTCCTCACCTAACCCCCACCCTCACGCCAGCGAGCTCCGTCCCTCTCTACTCCTCCCATCTCCACTTCACGTCCCCAGCCTCTCGTGTTACGGAGGAAAATATCTCCTCGGCCTCGAAGAGCTACAGAAGGCAAAGGGATCGCTACTCTCTGCGACACACTCACACCTACCGCCACGTGGTGGAGGTGAAGATTGTTAGTCAAGAGGTGTACGATGGAGATAGACTTGTGGAAGGTCTGAACACTGTTTGGCAGGTGAGAGAAAGATAAAGACAGTGTGTGTTTGTGTGGGTGGGTGGGGGATATTTCTACTGCAATATTTTTGAATGTATGCACTCGGATAATCTGCTTTGCTCAAAGTACGTAAATGGCGTAATTAAGCGGACCATTGCTCATTGTATTACTGCTAGAGTGGTCACTGTTTAGCAGTATTATCTCTCTTCTTTCCCGTTGATGATTCACAGGAGCAGTCTGTAGTGAGTTCCTCACCTGTGGAGAGAGTCGACGTCCATCCCTACACCTCCTCTTCCTCCCCACCCTCTCACACCCTCCCCACTATCCCCATCCCCGTTCTCCCCACCACACTCACACCAAGGAGGAACCTCCATCACCAAACTCCCAATCCTCCCCCTCCCCCCACCACCACTGTAATACCAGTTAGAGGAGTTTCTGATTGTGCCCCACCCACTATTAATGGTGGTGGGGAGTCGAGAGAGACCGAGGGTGCAGGAGAGACGGAGAGTGCAGGAGAGACAGAGGAAGAGAGAGAAGGAGAGGAAGAGATGGAGGAAGAGCCTATCGTTAGTGAGAGAAACGAAATCCAGAACCAAACCTCGTCAAATATTCAACAGGTACATAGTGTTCTCGTATACCCTAGCCCTTACCCTTAGGAAAAGCATGGCATTACTGTTCTAAATAATAATGCGCGATGCACGTGCGAAAAATTGAACTGTCTCGCTTTGCTCGGCTTACACAGGCTGAATACAATGCTCTTCCTCTTTACCTGTGCTATTTAACCCTTCTGCCACCAGACTCCACAGAGGAGAAGGCAGATGAGGCGACCCACAGCTATTCCTACTACTCCCTCCTCTTCCTCCTCCTCTGCTCTTCCTGGCCAGAGAACAACTAGAACCACATCTGCCTCCTCCTCTACTGCCATTGCCACTAGGAGAGGAACACCCTCTCGAAAAGGTGAGGAACAACACCTTTTTTCAACAACTTTTTCCTTTGATTTTTTAGACGTGATGGAAGATTTGCTGCCGACAATTAATGTCTCAATTTTTGCGCTTCCCAAAAAAAATTTCCTGTAAACATTGACCCTCAAAAACGTTTTTTCTTGAAAACTTTCCATTCTACCTGTTATGCAGGAGCAGTTTTAATTTCTACAAATAATTACCCTCGTTTTCATTCAGGAGCAGTGAATGGTGAGGGTGGTGAGATATGTGAGGGGAGTCTGGTGATAGCCAGATGGAGGAACCAATCCTGGTACCCTGCCATCGTCACTGGCTCCAAGAACGGAAGGTGAGCATTATGCACACAAACGTGTATTTGCAGATTTCAAATCATGTTTTAAAGTGTGTCAATGAACGACGATTTTTACACTAAGTGTTGGATGTAGTTACAGTTTCTCTGTTTGTTTTAGACTGAACGTGAAGTTTGCAGATGGTGACAAGTCCTCTGTGTCACTCAGCCACGCCTTTCTCAGGGTCAGTCTCACACACACACACACACACACACACTTGCTTGTCAAACATTTTCACGGGTCAACTGTCCTTCTTTACCTTTCTTTTAATTCTGTCGCCTGCTCCCAATGTAAGGTGTTGCAGGGCTAATAGTAAATGATCATGAGATTCTCCACCGGTGTGTGTGTATGTGTCTCTTGTCTTCCATTTCCTCCCAGTTTTTGTTTTTAGACTTAAACCTCCATCTTCCATGTACTTATTCCATTCCCCAGTCTCCTTCCATATTCTGCCTCCATGAGTCATTCTGTCCCTTCCAGGGTCAACTCCAGAAGGGCATGCTGGTCATTGCAATGGACGACACGAGAGAGGGCCAGCGAGGTCACTTCTCTGGGTTTGCGGGTCCGTCTCTCTCTGACTGGTACATGAGTCCTCTGACTGGGGGAGACGGCGTCCGGAGGGTGAAGTTTGTCTGTGACCAGTTGGAGGTTCCTCCTGCCACCGCTCTGCTCTGTGTCGGAGGAAAACATAATAGAGGTATAATACTGTATGCAACTATTGATGCTACTACCTTAGATCCAGTTTTTAATGTCAGTATCTTCTACAGTAGTAGAACAGAGTTCAAATTTGCATTTAGTAGTGCTAAAAGCCACCTATTTATAGCTGGTTGATGTGTGTAGCTAGCATTGCCTGTCCTTCTTTCAATTCAGTTTAGGTTGATGGAGAGCTTATGTCTATCTACTGTTTCAGAACTCTAGCAGTGTCTATCTACTGTTTCAGAACTCTATGTACTGTTCTCAGGAGTGAAGATGGTTCCTTCAGAAGTTGTGGTGTCCCCAGCCCCCAAGAGGAGGTGTGTCCAGCCGGGAGGGGGAGAGGAGGAGGAGGAGGAGGGGTGGGAGGAGGTCTCGCAGCCTTCCAACAGCCAACGCTATCTCTTTGAAGGACTCAGTTTCCTGCTTACCATGAGGAGGAAGGAGGACAGACATCTTGGTAGGAGAAATTTATCATGCCTGGCAAAGATCCATAGTCAGAAGGGAATTGTGCAGATTGCTTTTCTAACTGTACAAGTGATCACTGCTCACAAATGCACGAGAGATATATACAAAACATTGACAGTTCTCTCCATCAAGTTCATTGGTTCTGTTTGTTCCTCCAGCCACTCCGCCTAGCGAGCAGTTCAACAAAGACAAGATTGCGTCACAGATCCGCTCCAGGATGGGACGTGTTCTCGACAGCGTGGACCATAAAGTGAGTCCCCATACCATCAGTATTTGGAGATTATATTGTAGTGTGTTTAAGAATTTGTTAATGTGCATGGGTAGCTTCACCACCAGCTGAAGCTCTTGCTATCAGTGCTAATTCATCGTATTACCCCTAATTATGCTACTTAGAAAAGTCTGTTTTGCAATATTCGAACTAATAGCTGCTTAAATTCTCATCTCCACTCCAAACTCCACTCCCAACTCCACTCCCAACCATCCATGTACATATTACAGTTGACTGGGAGCAGTGAGTGCTTTGTTCTGTCAGACAGCTACTGCAAGACTCAGAAGTATCTGGTGGGTCTGGCCCTGGGACTCCCGTGTGTCTCCTACTGCTGGATCTCACGGTGCATCGGGAAGGTGTGGTTTATCACACGAAACACAAAGACACGTTTCTGTAAAAATGTTTCCTCTCTCTAAGAACAACAGTTTCATGGAGGACACCTCGTTATTAAGGACACCTTCTTCTGTCCCATTTGTGTCTAGGGTTCCACTGTAGCTAGCAGTACGTGTGGAAGAACATTTCGTCCTTGTTAGCGAGTGAAGCGGGGCCACATAGTCGTCTGAATGTACATTTTTATATGTATTACACATGCTGTAACCCGCACTGCCCTCACAAAAATAGCTGTTGCATTATTTTTGTTAACGAGAGCTTTTGTGTGCATATTTTTTCCTCCTCCCTCCCTCCCTCTCTTCCGCAGGGAGAGCTGGTAGACCACACCCCCCATCTCCTTCCAGCTGGACAGAGGTCTGGTGAAGGAGAGGTGGTCCAGTGGACACCTCGTCCCCCAGGAGCAATTATGGCAGGGGTTTCCCTCACTGTTGAGGGAACTAGAGACTTCAAGGTGAGTGATGTCGTTATGACGTAATGAAAACTGTGTTAGTATTGTCTGGTATGGTGTTCAATTTGCAGGATAATTGGAGGGTGATTGCAAGAAAAGCCGGAGCTACTGTCAAAGGTCTGCATGCACATATTCAGGGAAGAGAATAGATCACACAGTTTGGTACTGTAGATCAGCAAAACAGTTTTCTGCTTCCCCAAATTTTCCAGTAATAATATAATCTAGACTGGCTCACAGATAAAGTTACAGCAAAACCGTGACAGCCAGCTATAAGTGGCACATATTACGTCATTATAATTCACAAAATTGCGTCTATTTACTAGTATGAGTGGTGTATTGTGGATGAATGCGGCTGTCTGTCTGTTGTCTCACCAGACACAGTGGACATGGAGTGGTGACAGTTAGCGAGAGTGGGAGATGTCTACAGACCAGAGCCAGATGCCCCAGGACACTAGTCAAGTCTGACTGGCTCTCTCAGAGCCTTATTACAGGGACCAGACTGGATTGGGGGGGTTTTGTATGGACCAACAGTGGAAGCCAGGACTAACACTATATACCACTATTGTCACTTGTTTCTTTCTTTGTCAATGTATCACTTTTCAGCTCAGATTTTTCAGTATCATTTATCACAAATCATTGAGTGATTCATGCCCCATTATATGAAACGTTTTTTTGTCACGATTCTTTTCCAACTGAGTTCTCATTCTTTGAAACGGAGGTGACCGGAGCCTCGCTTGTAGTATCCGGAGGCGGCTTGAAGATCGGCTTGAAAATGTAGATGCCGCTAGCAACGCCCAACACTGCAGCCACGAGCAACTGAGTCAGTGGTATTCTCCTCCGTAACAGCATTGCTGTTGCGAGAACTCCAATTCAGCCCGTCGCGTACGTCGTACCGCAGAAAATGAAGGGGCGGAGCTCACACGTGTATTTTGCGCATGCGCATTGTTGGGGCGTATCTGATTTTGATAGGCGGGGCTTGTGACCGGAGCACAATGCTGCAACAAAGAAGATCCACTCACCAACCTTCAGGATCATCTGAAGAACATGGGACACCAGTAGCAATCTCAGGGCAAGAATTGGGGAGGAAATCAGATGCCAGAACTAGCTGCAGTCTACCTGGAGTGTGGTTGGCTGCAGTGGTGATCCTCCGACTGGCCAGTGCAGTGTTGAATCAGACGGCATTCGTCCCTGATGAATACTGGCAGAGTCTGGAAATTGCTCACAGAATGGTCTTTGGGTATCCATTTCAAACTGCACCAGCACAAACTACATTAGCTGATTCAATTCCTGAAAGGATTTTAGCAGCTATTTACTTACAGTATCTCAATGTGGTGTGCGTTAGTCCAACAGTAGTTCTGAGTCCTGAACTGTGGAATCAGGTATGGGTACCAGACGTGGGAATGGAAAGAGGGTATTCGAGGGTACACACACCCATTGCTCTATGCCACCCTATACAAGATCCTCTCACTTCTTCACATTGACCATGACTTTCTCCTGGCAAGTATTGCCGTACATGCAGAGTTGGAATCATTGAGCTATTACGTGCCGTGTTTTTCCCACTCAGACTGAACTGCCAAAGGTGATGAATGCTCTACTGGGTGTGATATGTGATGTATACGTCTTCAAACTGGCCACTCATCTGTATGGACTCAAAACTGGAACCCTTGCGGTATCCACTACTAAATTATCATGTGTTCCAGCGGAATGTTAATACGAATTCCAGGAGACAATCAAAACTGACAGGAATTTCACTCTAACTGGACAGTTTGCACACACATTTGCATTTTATAATGGGTTTTGTTGAGCCTTTAACTGAAGTTTCAGCTACTCTGCAACGTGTCGTCTTGGTTTCTCTTCTACTGCTTGCCTCGCTCCATGGGCAACTCCCTGGAGACTGTCCTCACAGCTCCTCTACTCTACCACTGGTTCCTGGCAGTGACCAGACTCCACACTCCTCCTCACACCAGGAGAAGGTTAGTGTTGCTAAACAAGCAGTTCAGCTGGTAGCTATTGTTCTAACTCAACACTTTGGTTTACTTTGCTGTGTCTCAAATACTCTCTGGCTAACTTTGTGCCATTTCCAATATCTCAGGCATACGTTGGTGTACCTGTCTCTATTAGCTCTGGCAGTTCTAGTGAGACCTACAGCAATGATCCTGGGCTTACCGCTAGTCATCTACCACTTCTGCTGGAGATATAGGGATTTGAAGACGATACTACAGTGCTATGTTGCTGTTAGGTATAATAGTATTTGCACTGCTTAGTGTATGGAGGGACAATGTTTACTACCTCCTACCCTAAAGCTTTTTCTCGTATTGCTCCTCTTCTTATGCAGTGTGCTGGCTCTAGGTTGGTCACTTACTGTGGACTGGTACTTCTATCAGAAGGTCATACATACATACAACACTCTACCCGCTGATAAACCTCTGTCTTCCCTTTTGCAGCTGGTATTTGTTCAGTGGAGATTCCTAATGTTCAATGTGTTAAAGGGACACTCTGCAATGTTTGGTACACACCCATGGCACTGGTATAAAACTCTACAACAGCTTCCACTGACATTAGCCACTATACTATCTCCCAAGGTATCTGAGTCAGGGAGCTCCAGCTGTCCTGGGAACCTCTCTACCACTGCTCTTCATTCTCCCGTGCTTCAACAGAGCCCCCAGTACACTGGGTCTACTGGCTCTGGGAGGCTGGACTGTTCTGGCATATAGTCTGCTGGCCCACAAAGAGTTTAGGTTCATCATGTCTCTGGTCCCTGTTGCATCAGTCTTGGCAGGTGATTGAGGCTGGCTTATAAGTTGGTTCGTACGCAATTGGGACTGTTTTACCCTATAGGTCATGCTCTGGATCTCTTACTCTCATTGAAGAAATGGAGAGGTAGCTACCTACATACATACATCTACCCACACTGTATGTAGGGAGGGATTGGTCAAATGTGATCCGTGCACATAAAATTGGCAGGCCAATCCTTCAAAGCACACTATTTGTGTGCTACAAAATTTTTAAATCTATCTACCAACAGTGTTGGGAAGGTGTGGGTGTGCTGCATTGCTCATCAATCTCCCAGCAATACTCTGGCTCTGCCTCATTCACCAGAGAGGGACACTGGACGTCATGACTTTCCTTAGATCTGTATGTCATGGCAGGGACATAGCTACATGGATCCTTGATAATGTATCCGAAACATCTCCCTGCAGAACATTACTGATGGTTCCTCTGTGTTCTTCCTAATGCCTTGCCATTCAACCCCATATTACAGGTAAGTTTCGCTTTTGTGTGTGATGTCGGCTCCATCTTACCTTCTGCTCTCTGTATTGCTAGTCACATTCACAGAAACATTCAGATGGAGTTCTTAGAGTGTCCACCTCTGTAAGCTCATTATGGCAGTATATAAGCTGCATTATCTATCCTTTGTTTTCTGTTTTCCCTTTGTGCACACTATTCTTCAGGTTGAATGCAGGTGATACTGATACACAGAAGGAGTTTTACACTGACCCAGAGAGATGGCTGGACAGTAGATACTCTGCCTCACAAACCAATCTTCCCACACATATTGTCATGTTTGATGCCCTAGTCAAGGTACTGTACGTATTATAATAGCAAACTATAGTGACGCAACCTTTCTTTTGCAGGATATAGAATCTTTCTTGGAGCTGCATAACTATCAAGAGGTAGGCTTGTACCATGCAAATTTGTCACATGAGAAAAGTTTCATGCACATGGCCATGAAACAGAGTTGCATCATCAATTAGAAGGCATTTCTGAATGGCCCATAATAATATGATACCCACACACCAAAGTTGCATGATACTCTATCTCAAGCTACTGTATTGTGGCCTGAAAACTACTGTGTGTTCCTCCTTCACAGATCAACAGAGTGTTCCATACACTACAACCTCTGGAGTCTAAAATAGGAACGCACATTGTGGTGTACCACAAAAACGTCCCGTAGAAATTGTTGTCTGCACGCGCATGCGCAGCGATGACGTCACGGGCTCACACACACACCTAACCTACCTCCTTGACCAGATCAGCTGCTCCTGGCCATTTGCATGGCCTCTCGAGAAGTCCCAGCAGTAGAAGAAGCGGCTCCACTGCAAGGCCCGGCCGCCGCGGCCTCTCCCCCTGCAAAGTCCCCCGCCGCTGCCAGCAGTACGGAATACTCTCAGAAAACCGGGAGTGAAGATGATCTCTCGTGTCTCGCGATCGCAACTTTTCTGGGAGACGTTCCGCATGACCTCCAATGCGCCAGTTGCAGAGGCGTCCCGCAGCAGCCGGTGGTGACAAAGTGCTGCTCGCAGGTTTACTCGCTAGCCTGCCTCGAGAACATGAATTCGTTTGGATCTGGGAGTAGTCGTGTGAATGGAAGGGGCGGGCGGGGAGGCATTGTAGTTCAACCCCTGGTGGTGGTACGAGGCATGCAGAAGACGGCATGTTGCCTCGCTAAGACAGAGCTTTCACACGAGGCTGATCTCCGGCGCCAGCGACGGGTCGACTCACTAACAGTAAAGTGTAAAAGTAACGGATGCGATTGGTCGGGTCCCCTCTCCGCACTGCTAGATCACGGGCAAAACTGCGACTTTGCAGACGTCCGCTGCGAGGCGTGCGGCGAGCAAATCGTGAGGAGATCTCTGGAGGAACACCGGAGAGATAACTGTCGTAACAGACTCATAAGGTGTCGTCGCTGCAACGAACAAGGACCGCATGCGGAGATTGTGGGACTGGATGCTCCGTTCACCAAGAAACACCGGTGTCCCAAGGCTCTGGTAACATGTCCTAACCAGTGTAGAGGGTCAAGGAAGATTGAGCGAGGCCTGTTGGCAGGGCACCTCAAAGTGTGCCTACTGCAGAATGTCGAATGCGAGTTCAAAATCGTTGGGTGTCGAGCTCAGCTAAACCGAAAGTCATACGCTCAGCACATGAGGGATCAGCAGCAACAGCACCTGCTGATGCTGCTGAGCATGTTCCACACCAAGATGTCGCTCCTTCATGGAGAGGTCGAGTTTCTGATGCAGAACGCACAGGATCCAACTACGCAGGCCTCCCTTGCCTGCATGAGCGACCATGTGAAGATGGGCAGGCCAAGTCTCGATGGACTAGGCGACAAAGTTACATTCAGGATCACCAACTACAAGCATCTCTCTGAGTTTACATCCGACGATGGAAAATGGGAAAGCCCATCGTTTTACTTAGCCTCACAATACCACATGGAGCTGGTGGCCTACCCTGGAGGAAATGGTGCTTACATGGGCCAATCACTGTCTGTTTATCTTAACGTCAGCAAGCCTGAAGCTCAGAGTGGAACAAGGAATGTTAACCAAGACATTGGGTGGCCCATGGACTGTGCCTATGTCGCCTTACAAGTCTCTATTCTCCCTCAAGTGAACCACTCTAGCCACCCCCACCCTGAATCTAACACAGAAAATCACGACACACAGGAGCTGCTGATGCCAAAACCGATATCATTCACGGCACACGTGTGCCACTTTTGTCGACAGAGGAAACATTTGCCAACCATACCCGAATACACGGAGCAGACGACAGCTGAAGTAGGGAGAGATGAGGATTTTATCAGGTGGGAGTCCCTCACTGAGGCTGGTCTTCTCTTTCAGGACTCTGTCGTTCTCAGAGTCGAACAAACGATGTGTGAATGTGCATGAACCACTGAACCATTCATATTATACTAGAGCAAATGCTTAGCGATCTTTGGCCGATTGAAACAAGCTAGTTTATAACTCACGATATGCAGCTTAGTTTAATTCATACCAAAAAGAAGCATGTAATCGCTGACGCATGCATTACAACTACATACGATGGGGCGATGGTCATATACAAAATTCACGCTGAACTCCAAGCTCCACTTGCCAAACAAGATACCGTAACTGCAAATAGCAACTTTGCCAAGATACCCTCCCTTACAAGCATGGTGCTGTCAAAGCTCGTATCCTTTTAGAGAGTGTGTATAACAATTAACCCTTAGCAGGCCACGGGCAATATATATATATAATATATGCCCAGAGCCTCCATAAGTCCATACTATAATACTAGGCGTTAATATGTTATACATCAACTTCTGCTTATTTAAGGAGATACCCATGGCGTCCAAAAGATTAATATGGCTATGGAAGCCTGTGTATATTAAAAGACTGTATAACAAAAGTAGCGTATTATAGCACAATAGAGATAGTAGCAGCTACCACTCTTCATCTGTTTCATACTCCTCATATTCGTCGGGTCCTCTACGGAGCATGTAGTTGTCCATGTCGATGGAGCGACAGTGTTTGATGGCGTAGCGCAGCTTGTCGGCCAGGATCGCCTGAGACGTGTACTCGGGGAGACGTATCTGGAAGAAACAGGTCTGGGAGGTCGGGAGGGCATCCAATGCCTGCAGCGAGAAGTCCAGTAAGAACATTATTTTAAGGTATCCGTCTGAGAGCAAACAAACTATAAATTTGCTTTGGGGGTTGGGTATATACCCCTCATTATTGGACAACTAATTTCCTTTGGAGTTAAAAATATGCAGAAGCTAAATATAGCACTGGTAGTGCTGAATCAAAAAGAACAACTTGACTCAACCGCCGCAAAGGATGAATAGTACAGTAGACATTGCTGTACAGGTGAGTTGGAGACTAACCCTGCCCCACTTGATGATCTGGAATCGCTGTGGGATCTCGCTGACTCTGGCTGGAAGCCGAGAGCGGCCTGAGACGAACCGCAAGAACAGGGTCTTCTCCTCGTTGGTGAAGGAGGTTAGTGTCTCCCACAGCCACTGGATGAGCTGGTCTTTTTCATCCACACCATCTCGGTACCTGCATTGGTGCAAAGGAACAACCTCATATGGAAGTCTAACACGGTTGGCAGTAGTACTTAGAGGGAATGGGGGAAGACCAGCTATAGTCTAGGAGTTCTAGCTCAGTGTTTAGTGTAGTGGATTTCCAGTTACACCACAGTGTGATTTGAGTCCAGAGTCCAGACAGAAGTCTCTACTGCCTTCTATCTACCAGGAATATTTAAAGGTGACTTGGTCTGTTTACTCAGGGATGTTTATTCAGCAACCACAGTGCCTTCCCCTTTTCTTTGCGTAAAGGTTTGGTAGTGCATGTTGCAGCATGTACAGCTCCTTGCATGTAGAGTATATACCTGACAACTTTCTTGAGCATCATGATGTCAATCTCCTCCATGCCGCACACACACTGCTCCAAGTTCTTGGCGGTCATGAGGGTCAACAAGGGGACAGGTATCATGGTTGACATGCCTTCTCTCACTGCAGCCACCTGTTCCACACAGAGGCAGAGAACGATACTATGCAGTCTAAACTCACAGCTGTTGTGTGCCTAATCTATGAGTCCAACACTTTCTATTCAGACAAAAGCCTTCATACCTAGTAGTACTACGCCTTAGACAAGACAGTGGGATGGGACAACTTTGAATGGTCATTTAGTATGAGACAATTGAGGAAAGGTAGTACAACAACCGTATGACAGATCATAGTACACTGTACCTGCTGGTCTAGCTCGTGAAGTCTGAACTTGAGAGCTTTATCCACGTACTCCTTCCTGTTGTGGAAGGTGAGTCTCATGTTGCCACCTCCAGGGATGATGGGCACAAATCTCCCGTTCATACTCTGAGCCTCGAATGACTCAATTGGTATCATCTGTAAGTGAGTGGAAAAGCAACTTATTTCTCTATCACAGACAGTACAACTGCACGATGAAAGGTAATGGTGGAACCTACCTCTGAGAAGTCTTCCTCTCCAATGCCACTCTTGTGGACATCTCTGATGCCGTAGAGAGTCTGGATGTACATCAGGTCCACCTGCACACACACACACACACACACAAAACAGCCAGCTCACAGACAAACCAAAATACCATATCCCGCATAGGGAACAGAACAAAAGAAGTTACGAGAAAGGTGTGTATTTCAACTGCATATTGCAGTCCTCATCAGTAAAGGGTCTCCATTCATGAGTATTTCATTCACCATATGTATTAATTTTTTATTCTTTTTTTTTTTTTTTTTTTTTTTTTTTTTTTTTTTTTTTTTTTTTTTTTTTTTTTTTTTTTTTTTTTTTTTTTTTTTTTTTTTTTTTTTTTTTTGTGGTTTTTTGTTGTTTTTTTTTTTTTTTTTTTTTTTTGTTTTTTTTTTTTTTTTTTTTTTGTTTTTTTTTTTTTTTTTTTTTTGTGTTTTTTTTTTTTTTGTTTTTTTTGTTTTTTTTTTTTTTTTTTTTTGTTTTTTTTTTTTTTTTGTTTGTTTTTTTTTTTTGTTTGTTTTTTTTTTTTTTTTGTTTGGTTTTTTTTTTTTTTTTTTTTTTTTTTTTTTGTTTGGTTTTTTTTTGTGGGTTTTTGTTGTTTTTTTGTTGTTTTGGTTTTTTTTTGTGGGTTGTGTTTTTTTTTTTTGTGTTTTTTGGTTTTTTTTGGTTGGTTTGGTTGGGGGTGGGTTTGTTTGGGTTTTGTTTTTGTGTTTTTTTGTGTTTGTTTGTTGGTGGTTTTTTGGGTGGGTTTGTTTTTTTTTTTTTGGTTGTTTTTTGTTTTGGTTGTTTTTTTTTTTTTGTTTGTTGTGTGTTGTTTTTGTTTTTTTGTTTTTTTTTTTTTTGTTTTTGTTTTTTTTTTTTTTTTTTTTGGTGTGGGGGCCGCTCCAAGTCTCTGTGGTGAGAGTCATCCCAGCCAGTAGTTTCCACATGGGTCTGGCGAGGTGGAGGTTCAGCGGTTTCCTAGTTCTCATGGCCACTCCAAACAGGAGCCCCAGGAACTTGAGGTGGCGGATGTCTTTGGGGGAGGTGCAGGTTGGGTCAAAGACATAGCGGTCGGTGTTGAAACCAATCTTGTTTGTCCCGTTTGGAGTCGGGATGATCAGCTTCACCTCACCTTGCTCCATTTCCTGCAGCAGACACACACCGAGTTCTCTGCTCAACACACACACACACATGCATGAATATAGTTGGTTTGTTTGGTTTGCCTTTGCCTTATTGTCGACACATGTGTAGTAGTTCATCCCCACGGTGGAAAATTATATTAATATGCCGATACAGAACTACACTCGATAATAGTTTTAGAAGCTATTTACAAGTAAAAAGGAGGATAGTACTTGTTGGCAAATTTTTTAATTTTTGTTGGTTTTTTCAGTAAGTGGAGCCTAGGTTGAGCCAAGGTGTCTTCACAAAAAAGTGCATGCATAAATGCAGGTAACCTCCCTGCGCATGGATTTACGCGTGCACTTGTTTTGTGAAGGGTCTTGACGTCAGACTAAGAAACTGAGCTCTGTCTCACCTCACACATCTGGGCCATAGTCTCGTCAAAAACACCGCCTGCATCGTCTGCCCCCTCCCCAATCAGGTTGACCTTCCAGGCCCGTGAAGATGAGCGCAAGTCCACCACTGGCTTCTGCAGGATCTGCTGTGCTATTTGCGGGAATACTGCCTTCGAGACTCGCTCACTGAAAGCAAAACATCATAGTCAGTAGAGCAAGTAATCATGCGTAAAGCGAAACATGGCTCTAAACAATAAGACCCAGTGAATTCCAACAGTTTTAAACATTTAGCCCTTATATATGTATTTAGTATGACAAAATTTTTGTTGCTTACTCTGCAGTGATGCGCTGGACAGAGATGGTGGGTCCATGAGTCTTGCTGTTCATGGTTCTGCTCATGATGCCTGCCATCATTCCCTCCACGTACACCTGAGAAATCAGGGCTCTGATGTTGGAGTCCAGCAGTGGGTTGATGTTGAATCTCGTGGATTCACCCTGCACACAACAACACATCAAGAGTGTGTGTCATCATAACATCCAATAATGTATACGGAGAGAAGGGGGTAGCAAAGATTGAAGCTCCATTTTGTGTTCAGTATGCTTACGCTAAGATATAAAGTCAGACAGGCGTAACTACATATCTGAATCATATTAAAGCAAGACAAGTGAAAAGCAAACAAATCAATAAAACACCGGACAAATTTCCTTGTTTCTGCCCCAATATCCCTAGTACCATGGCTACCGTTTTAGTGTTAACTAGGAATGCGCACGCGCATATTTTGCCTCGCACCTGCCAGCCAATGCGTAAACTGTCCGACTGAGGCCGCTCGTGCGCGCGCTCTACTGACTACGCGCGAAGCCAGACTTCCCCTACGAATCTGCGCACACGGCGGAAGCTACGAATGACAGAAGTGACATTCCTAAGCGTGACTAATTGACATTTTTAAGCGTGACGACACGTACGTACGTACGCATATCTCGAGAATACAACCCGGAGTAGTTGCCTCACGCTAACGCGCTCGGTATTAAGAGGGCTAAAGGGCTAAAACACAGTACTCTCAAAGACCAGAGAGGTAAACATTACCTTGATGTTTTGAATGCTGAAGAGCTTCCACGAGGCCACCATCAGCTTTGCAAAGTGGTTGAGGAGCATGAGCCGAGCGTGGATGGCCTTGCAGGGCAGGTCTCTCAGGGCTGGGTACCGTGCTGGGACGGAGAGAGGGACGGCAAACATTACATCACCGCGAGCTGGAGGAGGCGTGTCTAGAGCAAGACAGTGCCGCACGCCAGCTGAAATCTGGAGAGAGAGAGAGGAATTGTGAAGAGGTTGTCTGAGGGTGTTGAACTAACTTGTCTGATTTTCCGTCCATATAGTGTGTCCACTCTCTTTGGACTGGTCTGGTTACTAGCCAGCTCGTACCCAAGCTAAACAAAACCGAAAACAAATACAATAAGATTCTACCTACTTCTATACGCAGTGCTTGAATCTCAATCTTGGGTAAATTACACGCAATAGACAACCACACACTTTTTGCATAAATTATCACCCATTCAATAAAGGTGTAAGAGAGTTTTCTATGTCTGCAAACCTCGTATGAAGTAGTGGAGTTTTTTCCCCACGTGTAGACACTGCCAGACTCGGTGAGGGCCAGAATGTACCCCGAACCAGTCTGTATGTCCACCACCCTCTCATTGCTTGGGAACTGCACCACCTCCGGCTCTGATATACCAGCATTGTCATAGAACTTGCCTAGTGGAGACACATAAAGGAGCATACATTACATATAGGCACGGCTAACATTTTACCTATGTATGTGCATAATGATCCAGAAACTTCTACTATCTCTATGATTGTGTGTTTAACAGGTATAGAAACCGACCCATTAATATGACTTGGCCTCTGGTGTTGAGTAGGATAGTGGCACGGTAGCCTGCAGCAGCCTTCTTGAACGGTCCATACACTGACAGATGAGGCAGGTACTGTAGTAAGAAAAGGTATATTGTTTGTGGTAAAGTAAAAGCCTGGGTGCCGAGATGAAGGGTTGGGAAGGGAAAGCAATGATAGATGGAGGGTGGGGGCTCACGAAGAAGATGTGGTGGTCTCCAGAGATGTTTCTCTGTCCCAACACTCCATGGTCTGCCTTGCCACATCCAAACACTTGCCTCATGTCTTCACTGATGGCAATTGAGAAAGATTGACCCAGAGCAACCTGAGAGACAGTGAGTAAAGGGTTAATGTGGATGGAAAGGGGTTAATTGAGAACGGTGGACAGCACCCAGAGAGACGTGTAAAAGTAAAAAAACGAGAAGCACCCAGAGAGACGTGTAAAAGTGGACGGAAAAAAAAAAACGAGATTTGAGAGACTCACGTAGCCAATTTTGACATCCATGTCTGTCTGCTCGTCGCAGTCCAGGAACTTGGTGATTCGGGTGATGCGGCCAATGTTCCCTGACGCCCCCTGGTTCCCGTGTCCAAGTTTCCCGTTCTCCTTAGCTCCACAGGTGTAGAGGTGACCGGTGGAGGCGAGCACGGCTGTGTGGTAGTCACAAGTCCACCTGAGCGCGCGCGAAGCGACACGTGAGCGAGCAACCGCTTCGCTCTCGCGCGCGCGCGCGACTATAGCTGTATGCGCAGTCCCCTCAAAATCGAGACATACATCGCAGAAAAACGTCAACAAAGAAGATACTACAGAAGGATTACGCAGAGTTTAAAATGTTAACCTGTTTACAGTCTTTCCCAGCGAGTGCCTCCACCAGTTTGGGTGTCCGTTGGTTGTCGGCGGTGGGGTGGCCGAGCCGACCGCGGTAGCTCTGGCCCCAGCTGTAGACGTCTCCCGTGTTGGTCAGAGCTATGGCGAAGCCCTCCTCTGTGGCTGTTGTCACTCGGACTCCGGCCACCACCTCCACTATGTGGATACCTGTGGAACACCAGCAGACTTGCAAGTTCAACGACGTACACACACGTACACATACACTGATAGCTTTTCTCACCATGAACATGTACAGAGAGGTTGTAATTTGTACAGTTGGACAGGAAATTTTTTTACTTTTATGACACACTTTATGATAAACTTTATGAACCAGCATGCGTACGTATGTGACTGTGAAAAACCTCACCTTGAAGAGATTCAACGTTGTTCAGCAGTCGTGCATTGTCTGAGTGGCTGTGGCCAAGTCTCCCGTACGAGCCCTCTCCGACTGAGGCCACCGTCCCGTCAAACTTCACTGCATATGTACAGTAGCTCCCTGCTGTCACCTAAAACACATACAAAAACTTAATGCACATATGTACAGCAAACAGAATCATGCAAAAAAATGTGAAAAAATACTGCAAATTGAGTAATGTCTTATACCTGTATGACCATTGAACTGCAAAAACACTGGACATAGTAGTACGTCGTAAGAAGGGCAAGAAAGCATGTAAAAATTTACACAGCTATACGTATTATCATTTTTGTTGCCGTGTTATTACACAGCACAAGTGTATAGTGAATGGAGGATCTTAACCAACCCTCACCATTCTGACATCCTTCCACTCGTCCAGTAGAGTAGGGAGAATCCTCTCTCTGCCGGAGTGACCAATGACGTTCCAGTGCCCCTTGCCCCAGACATACACGTGGGATCTCTGCGACGTCCACCAGTCCTCTGCCTGCTGCGTCACCCACTCCAGGATCTGGGTGTCCATGGTCAGAGTCCACACACTGGTGTCCTGCACTCAGGGAGGATGAATGATCAACACTCACAAGTCTAAAGTCTATACAAAAATTCTTTTCTAGTTGTCAGTGTATTCTTCTCATTACGAGGGAAGTTTTTTGTTGCAAAAAAGTTGTCTTGGGTGTTGTTGAACTGTTGCTGCTTTGCTTTTATGCTTCACTTACTGCATGACTCTGTCCTATCTTTCTTTCCTTCACACCCTCTCTACACCTTGTTCTGTCCACCTACCCTGCGGAAAGCCTCTTCCTCTTTGGTCAGAGGATCGGTCATGTTTGACTCTGGAACCTGAATATCATCAGTGAGTGGCGTTCGCTTCATCAGAGACTCACTCATCTTTATAGCCTGCACCACAATCAAAATGTGAAGCATGTAACATACGTACACAAAGTTTTGCTGGTGGAAAAAACCTGTGAGAATTGATTGAGCCACTCCCACTCTTGTGCTGGTGGTGGGGAGGTGAAGTGTGGAGGGTGAGGAGGGGAAATGAGGACACTGTGAAGACCGAGACCCACTGTTAGTGCCGTCAGCATCTGTAGGTACTCCGAAAACACAATCTGCTGCGAAGAACGGACCTCTTTCTGCAAACAAACAACAGAGAGAAGCGTGAGTAAGGAAAGGTTTTAGAACACCCTCACTTCCTCATAGGTGTACTGGTCCAGGAGGATGTGGTGGAGGTTCTTGAGCAGAGCGGAGAGACACGGAGCCTTGGTTAGGTCAGAGATGCCGTGGCTGTGGAGTACTGGGTAGCAGTTGAGGAGACAGCGCTCCCCGGCATACTCTGACACCCCAGGAGGAATCAGGTACACCGTCTGGAGAGTGAGATAGAATGGAGGGAGAAAGTACTCAATAACAGTAAATGAACAGTGAACATTTAAACACAGAGAGAGTATACACTCCATGAAATACTACAATGACTGCAACACATTTTGGCGAGCGAAGCGACCTTGAAACACTGTACATGATATCCACGCATGTCTCAACAACTTGGTAACGAGGTAGAAAAGCAAGGCAAGGCACAAACAAGTCAACTACACCCAGGACAGCTGCCCTGGGTGTGTGGCGTACCAATAAAGTAAGTGTACATACATCACAGGCTTACATTTGAGTTGGTGTAACAGACGGCGAGGCCACTGCTGGTCCAGGTCAGATTGAGGACCTCACCCACCGACTGGGAAACCCTCTTCATTTCACGGAATAGCTACAGGAAAAAGCACGCATCACACGAATGTCGATTCCTGATTCTTAAAAAAAACATGCCTCATTTCTTCAGAAAGATGTAACTCGAAGTAAATCGCTACACCCTTAGAATTAAATGGCTCTTGCAATGCAAACATGACACCGTGAAGTATATGCACACTACTTGGTACGCTTATCATTGCGCTGAGAACCTTTATTGAATTGAAGGAAAGCCAGCTAGCGTTGTACTGTTTACCTGTACATCCCATATGCTGACAGAGCCACCACGACACCCAGAGGCCAAGAGAGACGCTGTGTAATGAGTGAACTGAAGAGAGGTGAGCGGTGCCTGATGCCCTGTGAGTGTAGCCACCATTGACAACTTGAGTCCCCACTTCTCTTCCTCCACACCCTCTTCTAAAGGAGGCTCAATTTGGCTGAGATAGTCCACCAGCCACAGGTTGATGCTACCATTCAGACACCCACTGCAAGGAGCAGATCAACATTGTTTGAGCACTTTAACATTGAGTAGAGAGCCTGTAAGTCTTAGTTTACGTTCAAGGAGGCCCAATGTATACCAGTTGGACGTACCCAGCTAGTAGCATTGTGCCAATGTTGCCAGCTTGAGGCTGCCAGGCGACCACAGTGTAGGGTCCCATGCTGTGGACCACTCTCGGCAGCTCACCACCCACATCCCATAGCTGTACACATGAAGAGAGAGAGAGAGGGAGAGGAAATCAGGCATATAGAGTGTGGTATGTAGTTGGCTGATTCAGAGTAAGACTAGGTTCTCAAAATACCGCATTTCCCTGCTGCGCCGTGGCGCTTTGTCACATTGTGAGAATAGAATCAATTTCTATCTTCACAGCACAACGCGACACAGTGCACGAGAGGGCAATGCAATATGTATGTTGTGAACCCAGTCTTAGTTTTCCTTGTATGAACAATGTTCTTTCCCCATATGTGCAAGAATGTGCACATGGCGCTGAACTCAAAAAGCCTTGTCATGGAGGAGTACTAAAGCGTTAGGGCTCTCGACTTCCAAAGCTTAATTGCACAAAGCCTAAGAATCAACTCCTGGCATTCTCTGTAGTTCTTCACCTTCACATCTCCCTCGGGTTCAAGAGTGGTGAGCATCCTCTCATCGGGGCTCCAGCAGAGAGAGGTCACCTGAAGCTCTGAGATGCGTATGGAAGGCACGTACTCTCTATTTGAGCCAGAGTAGACCTGGATGGTTCCGCTCGGGGAGCAGCAGGCGAACCGTGAGCCAGCCGAGGACCACTCCATGGCACTGATGGCTCCTGCATAGAGTGTGGAGAAGAGTGGTAAGTAAAATACTCACTTGAACATGGATTACTCCAATGTTGACAATTTTGAACAAGAGTCATAGTAAAAATAGTGGTTTCAACATGTGTGGTCAACTCATGTATATTCATTATAGTTGACAGCAACTACTCTATATCCTCATGTGCAGTTCAGATACGTAAGTGAACGCGCAATGCATTTATAAGGCAAATCATAGTACACATAAATGAATTACAGGGAAGGTCAGAATTTGGAAGTGAGGGAAGTATGTTTAAATCGGGAAGGGGGTTCGATGTATACAGTCAGTAAAGTGAGGATTTGTCTCACCTCTGCCAAAGTGCTCCAGTCGGGTGAGCTGGAGAGAGGGGCTCATGTTGACCCTCGCCCCCATGATCTCCACCATAACCAGGTCACCTCCCAGCAGTCCCACCACCAGCAGTGGAGTCTCTGAGTCTCTCTGGCCTGGCTTCCACTGGAGAGCCGTGATGAGTTCAGGGAAGGTCTCGGTGACTGTGATCCCGTCTTTGACTCTCCAGATACACAGGGTGTCATTGACAGCTCCAGCTGCACACATCGCATTGCTCTGTTGGGGGAAACAGAGTTAGCAGTAGAGCAGATTGAAATTTGGAGGGGGGATGAGGAATATAAGAGGGACAGGGGACAGGGAGAATTAAGAACAACTGTCAAAAAAGAAGTTAAACTTACGCTCTGCGTGAGAACAGGGAGAAGATACCCTGAGCCTTGCGTGAGTTTTGGGAAGGGGAAGACTTGAGGATTGTTGAGCCCTCTGTCCTCACTCCACACCAGTAGAGCATTGTCTTCACCTCTGCAGCAAAACAGAGACTTATTCAAAACCAGACAACCTTCAGCACATGTATAACTCACATGGAGAGAATCTTGTTTGACTTTCCACCATCGCAGCATGCCATTGCCTGCACAGTAAGTAATTGATATTAACACACATGTGTACCGCCGCATATACCTGCCCGGTGTGCCCAACAAGCTCAGAAGTGTGTGAGGGTAGCACAAGGTATTCTGGATGAGGCTGAGTCACCCCTTCTCTCTGCGATGAAGTGGCAAACACTTTCAGCAGCTGCTCGAGGGCCCAGAATCTGTACTGGCTCTCGAGCTTGGAGGAGAAGAGGCATGCAGCGAGAGCATCAGTCATGAGCAAGACGCCAGTGTCGTCTGCAAATACGGCCTTCCCTGCAGCTTCTGCCATAGTCTGCACCAGGCTTTGTGTCACGGCAAAGTTTGGGTTAGAGAGAACGGCGAGATCCGACTTCTCGTTTGGATCAATGGAGTCATCATCGCCATTGTTCCGGCGTCGCCGTCGGCGTCTCCGAGGTCTCTGGAGGAGTTTAGCCCCACCCACTGCGGCTGTAAGGAGATCACGGGAACAAGCCTGCATCAGCTGGGACCCAGCCTCCAGACTGTCAGACACTACCGTGGTCAGTGCCGAGGCGAGGCAATCTAATCCCTTGATGGGTAGGAGACTGGATGGAGTTCTCACGCCAAAGAGCCTGCCGGGTGTGCCATCTATCCTGCCGGCGTGGACCAGCCGAAGAAGCCTCACGAGGGAGAGGACATTCACAAGGCCCACTGAGCGCAGATGCTCGGCAAAGTCGAGGGACGTATCGGTGGAGAGACTGGCTATGACCAGCATTGTGATCCTCCGCGCCACGAGTGTCTGGACTGCACTGGTGAGCCGCTGGAGTGCAGAGAGAGTCTCGTCTATGTCTTGGAGTTTGATGGCCTGAGAGACAAGCTCCTCGCACTGCGGCCCAATCTTCAGGATGTGCTCATCGACCAACTCCTCGTCTCCTCCGCCCACTAGAGTTCCGTCTGGAGTTGCCTCGAAGAGCTCCCCATATTCCCGGCCGCGGCGAGACCACGCCTCCCCCATTTGGTCCGGCTCCGTGAACTTGTGGAGACGAGGAGTGGGGTTTGTCTGGGAGAGACCGAGAGCCGATAGTAGCGACTGTAGAGCCTCTCGCGACGCCTCCAGACCTTGTATTCCCATGTCAGGAACTGTGCTCGGACAGCATAATTATACGTACGTATGAATCTTGGTACATGAAGTTAGAGTGTGTTTGAACTACTCACGATTGTGGTTTATGGAGGGTCCTTCTAGTAGATCAGGAGCATGGCTTGTGTCTCTCTTGACTACAGCTTTCATTTCAAAGTCTTCCCCCTCTCCTTCAGCATCTATCATCTAAAGCGAGAGAGCAATAATCAAAATTGAATAACCAAGCCAATGAGTGATATACACTATATCTGACCTCTCCAAAGAGAGAGAGAAATTGAGTGGCGGCCACATTTTGGTCTGCTTCCATTTTCTTCTTCTGCTCCTCCAGCCTCTTCTGACGTTCCTCTTCTCGATTCTGCTCTTCCTGTAGAAAAGATAAGCAGAAAGGGATTATGGTTGAAAACTCAAACAGTCGAATTAGCTCATTGCTGGCAAACAATCACCCACACTAGCAACAAATTCAGATTGTCCTTCTACCAATTGGGGTAAAAGTGTCCCCTGGGAAGCATATTCAGAGGGACAAATGAAGAGATAGAGGGACTATGTCCCCCTGGTACGCTCTAATGCCACCCCTGTTTCTCTCTGATACCTGTTCTCTGCGAGCCCTGGCATCTTCCTCCTGTGCCGCCTGATGGTGATCCACAATCCACGTCACTAGCATGTTCATTCGACCGTGGTCTGTGATGTGGGTTGGGAACTCCACTCTGTGAAGATGACAGAGGCAACAAGAGGTTGGGTCACTGCACTTGTTCACTTCATCGTGCATGCAAGTGTACCTGTCCAGTGCAAGGTTGATCTGAGCACGACTGAACCCCATATCCATCATGTTGTGTATGTAGGTCGGTGTGGCATTCCTGGCAAAGTAGGCGTCCAGAAAGTCCTCCTCAAAGTAGTTGAAGTGGAGTCTCTCCGGAGGCAGGGTGTCTGGTCTTGTCACCAGGTGCTCGGGGGCAGGGGCTGGGATGGTGGCCTCGATCTGTTGAGATGTTAGCTGAGGTCGCCTGTGACCACTGCTGCTCATGTCTGTGTCATTCACAGAGATAGAGAGAAAAAAGCAGGCATTTAACGCTGCCTACAACATTGTGGCAAGAATCCTCAAATTCCATAAATTTTTTTGGGAAACTAGGTGGCTAGGTTCATTTGTTGATTTCAACTTGTAACAATGGGGCTGCTGGTACCAATTGACACACTGTATGGAACTAGATCCCTTTCTTACACTCAGAAACAGCTCCGAGGCACTCGTAGCTGACAATGGAGAAAATCCTCTCCATCTCCATTGGCCTCAGTGCGACTTTGAGCGGAGAAGGCTTGATTGCCCTTGCAACGAGACACATCAGTATCTCCCTCACTGCTACAGCAAGAGAACTCTTGTCTCCGCCACCTCCACTTGCTCTAGTAGTGTCTTTAAGTGGCGTGCGATAGTCAAGAAGTTTTATCATGCTCTCGTTGAAGAGGATTCCCTGGAGGGATTTAGCAGCAGCGACTTGGATGTGGCTCTCACAGAGTTGTTGGTAGGGGAGGCTGTGGTGTGGGGTGGTAGGAATGAAGTGCATCTTGGAGTGTATCTGGTGCATGATGGTCTTGAAGTGGTTCTGGGTGTCATCGCCGTAGCCCGCGATGCGAGTGATATTCATGAGAATGGTTGGAGTGAGCTTGTCAAAGATGAGCGAGAGAGAGAAGCGAGACTGAACCGGGAGTTGCAGGTCTTTCAGTCTTGTTAACCTGCAAAAGAGCAAGTAGAGTCAACGGTCTGCGTTAAACATCACACAGAGCATTACCTGCGAACAACCTGAGCAGTGGTGGATGTGATCTGCTCTTGTACCTCCACTTTCTTCTCCCCGTCAGGAACAGACACAATAGTCCCCATCTGTTTAAATTGTACGATACTAATAGTACGGTTGGTGAACGTCATGCAAACCTTAGTCTCTTTCTCCTCATATTTCTGACAATCCCTCCCAAGACAGTAGCCTGAGTCAAGGCCACCCAGCACTGTCAGTACTGGCCACACAACCTGTGAGAAGGAGAGAGAGAGAGAGAGAGAGAGAGAGAGAGAGAGAGAGAGAGAGAGAGAGAGAGAGAGAGAGAGACGGTAAAGAAGTGTACAAGAGCAGCAAAAGAAAGCTATCAAGCATTTACAGACCTGTTGGAGATTCCTAAGGACAGAGGCTAACTGGGGCAGGAGACTGTCAGTACCAGCAGTTCTACTGGAAGAAGAACTGTCCAGGGAAGCCCTGATGTCTGCCAGCTGTTGCATGAACACGTCCATCTCACACAGTCGGCTGTACACCACCTGAGATTCAATAAAGAAACTGGTATAAAGTGAGGCTTCAAAACTAAAGTATAGGTTCGGATAATGAATTGAAGCATACTGTATACAAACCTGAGAGATAGCTTTATTCCAAGGCTCTTTGTCCTGAATGTCGTAGATGATATTGATGATGGCGTGGACTAGAGTGACTCCGACTGGACTCAAGTTGGGGTAGCCAGAGGTGTCCTGCTCCCTTCTCTTGACGTGGGCCAGGAGAGAGTGGCTGGAGTGAGTGATGGGGTGGATCATAACCTGTGAAGGAAGTGAACGGATGGAGATAAACAAGAAATCTCAAACAAAACAGCGCTCTCTTAAAATGGGTCATGCATTTGGCAAGGTGTGGGTCTACGAGTCTTGAGTGAACATAAGCCCATTTAGGTTGTCGCATATTAATGAATAGCTTTCTACCAACATCCTGCATGTTGTTAGTGGGCATTGTACAGGCCTGATGCCGACGCTGTCTGCTGCCCTACCCTGCAAGAGGTTCTCCTGTCAAACAAGACAAACGGAAACAGGTCCTCTCCCTCCTTCCCGATACTCTCAAAACCCTTCCTCAATGGCTCGTCATTCTTGCCGAAGGCAAGAGTCCTCGCTCGAGCATCATACTCGACCATTACACTATCCTTCTCCTTCACTATGAACAGAGCCTCCGTGGTGTCTCCAGCATGAAGCAGGCGACCTGTCGGAATCACAGATTATCAAAAAATTAATCATTCGATGGGTGTGCGGGTTGACCTGTGTGTGCCTCCAGAGCCCAGAATGCAGGGCTTCCATTGTCATGGAAGAGAGGCTTGTGTGCCACCCCAACACAGAACATAGCTGTTTCACTCTCAACACTCACCTGAAAAAAAAGTAAGTGGTTGTAGGTTCCACTCGGCCTACTCTAGGAAGTACTATGTGGTATGTAGCTGTCACTTCTGCTATACAACTATGAATGCTGGCTGACCTTCCAGGTGTGTTTGCCACTAGTGAGAGGGATCAGACCCTGTACGTAGCTGTTGGCCCCACTTCCCTGGGCCACCACTCCCTGACCTTCCACTACCACTGTACAGTTGTTCTGGTGACTGGCATCTGCTCTAAATGGCAGCGTCACCTGGAAAATATGAAGGATACCGTATATCACTAAATAGACAGTATGTTACGCACTTTTCTAGCCATAGCCAAGGTATCATTGCATGACGCTGAGCGACCTATGCTAAACGGCACTAGCCACTAATATTGCAGTCAAAAGTCTCAGAACCCATTACGTCTTGTATAGCATGGCGCAAGCAAGCAGGTACACTTCAACTACCTAATAGTATACGTAGATGTACTATGTATACCAAAAAATAGTAAGTACTTGTTTGACTGGTGTGCTGCTCTCGTCGCTGCTGAGGCTGTGCTGGAAGTTTGACAGTGGAGCAAGGAACATGCAGCGCTGCATCAAATCCATCAGATCGTCTATAGTCTATGGAACAAGCATAGCACTATTATAATTATACATAGCTCATTATGGGCGATTGGAGTTGGTGTAATGACCTTGGCACACTTGTCTGTGGTTTCGGCACTTTTGTCTGTGAGTTCATTCATGATGGTCCCCAGAACCTGCAACGCTAGTAGCCTTGTCTTCAACGATGCAACGTGGGGGAATCCTTCAATATAACCAAATATTGGATTCAGAGACCACAAAATTCCCTCCCTTGCTCACCGGTGGTGGTGTCGATATTGACAATCTTCACGAGCGATGTGAACCATCCGTCCTCGGCCAGAACGGCTCTGATTGTGGAGTGGGTGGAGGAGAGGGTGTTGAGAAAGCAGAGGAATCTTCCCAGTTTCATCTCCATGGCTTCCACCGATACTCCACGTTTCTTCCACCTCTCACTCACCACTGGATCACTGTGTGCCAAAGACAGGGAGCCATTAATACCATACGTCAAAAATGTACTATTTTACTATCCATATATTTTGGCTGGAAGACCCAGGTAATTTAGAATAACTTCTCATCGCAAATTTTCAAGTAACTTTTTAATAATGTTCCTGTCTTTAGTATTATACCTATGTACCTGGTGTTGACAAAGCCTTCCATGACACCAAACAGGTGGTTTGAGATATTGGTGAGGATTTGGGGATGGAACTTGAGCACATCGGCATTTTGACTGAAAGGGAAGGAGAAGTAGTATACACTGCACAATGTACACAAGTATGCACGAAACAGCTGAGCCAACGGTATGTAAACAGTAGCTCACCCAGTGCGAAGGGCCACATTCTCCAACTGGAAGAGTGAACTGAGATTTGTACGTAGCGTGAGCTGACTGTCAGGGAGCACAACATCGTCCTCTATCTTTGTGCTCACGAGTCCACACAGAACCACCAGTTTCCAGTAGATATCGAGAGAGAAGAGGAGGAGAAGGTCGTCCGTGTCTGCTGGGAAGTTGATCCACTGTAGAGCCAACAGCAGCCGTCTCTGCTTCCCAATCACCGCCTTAGTGTCTGAACGGACAAACAAGATGTTCATATTTATTATTAATATCACTATAATATAATGGGGGTTTGAGAGTGGTTTACATGTAAAAATACATTCTACTGCAGGCTTCCTAGATTCATGCACTGAATGAGAGTACATTTATGTTGAAAGTGAGTGAAGCTATAATCTCAGGGCATAACATGAATTGTTGGTAATCGAAGCGAGCATACACAGTCAACTGAATGCAGATTTCTCCCTTACACTATACACATACACGTTACATACACACCCATACACTTTCGTTCGCCAAATATTGCATTTGGTCTAGTAAAAGTGAGCTGTACACCACAACTCAGTTCAGTATGTGATAGTGATGAAGAGGTCAGACCTCTGAGGTCATCAGGCTGAGTGTGGAAAGTCTCCTCCAGTATCCTCTGCACGATGCGGTGGTACAGAGTCTTCACCTGGTGCTGAATGATACTGGGAGACGCCATGATGTCTCTCTGGAGAGGTGGGAGAGAGAGAGAGAGAGTAAGAAATTCATCATTCTCACAGAGAAAATGGACAATTCACACAAAACCTAGACATGCACACTAGCTAATCACACTATTAACTCCATTCATAGTTGTACAGTACACATCCATGAATGATTTCATGGCCACGACCTCTGCACAACTGCAAGAGGTGGGTGATTGGTACTCACGGAGTAGTGGACGTGATGGGGAATGCACTCGGTGAGGAAGATGAGTTTGGAGGATGTCAGCAGTAGAGATGCGTCTTCGTCTATAAAACTGACTATTCTCTCCAGACCATCCACTCGGTGCTAGAGATGTTTGTGCATGTTAGATATGGAAAGAGAGGGAGAAAGATTATAGTAGTACAACCATTTTCAGGGAACAAAAAGTGGAAAGAAAGACAGGGAGAAAGATTGTAGTAAACCAATAGAGAATTTAGTTGTCCAAACATGAAAGATAGATAGGAACTGTCTGTATCAACTACACCACCTGGACATGCAGTGGCGTGACATGCATGCACGAAACGTGTAATGCATCTTCCCCGATTGCTGTCCTACTAGAACTCACAGCTCCCCTCTTTTGCTGTGAGAGCAGAGCCTTGACCATCCTGGTCCTGTTGAACAGATGGTCTTCCTGGAGGTGGAAGGCTCCACCCACCACCTCCATTAGAGTAGATCCCAGTTTGAGGTGTAGGGGAGTGTCTGATCGCAGGACCTTCTCTCTCTGCCAGTGGAGGTGAGAGAGGGCCACCTTCACCGATGACAGACTCCACGCTACAGCAAGGAGAGAGAAGGGCTTGTATATACCTAGTATATAGTAGGTTCTACACCATATCATAGGTATCAGTGCATACTTTCAAACGTTCCACCCACAATATTTCACGAAGAAAACTTGTTCCCCAGCTACATATGTACGTAATGACAGATATAATACACCTGCTCCAGGAGATTCAGGTCCAGAATTAGTTCTAGTAGGAGACACGATGTGTATTATATCCATTGGAGAACCCTGTAGGTCAACAAGAAACAAGGAATAAAACCTCCATTATGAGACTCTCATACATACCTCTATCTGTTTGGGAATGGTGGAGTCAGACGGAATACGTTTCCCGGCGGGACGGGTCCTGAATTTGGTTTTGGCCCCCGGGGAACGCATCCCGATGTCATCAGTACTGGAGGAAGAGCCTGGGGAGGCCTTGGACGAGGGAATTTGGGGAACAATACGATCTGTGGAGAGTTCACGTTGACATGGTTAGCAGCGTGCTAAAATAATATGTACAATTATGGGGAGTGTATATTATAAGAAAGGAGATTCAATACTGTTGGGAGAGGCAAACAGAGGCATACAGCTTAACCAGGCATTAAGTTTTTAGTTTTTGCACTCTACAACTAAATTGACCATCTTTGCATTGTGATGTAGTAGCGCTAACCTGACTCTTCAGGGATGGCAGGGTTGAGGATGACCATGAGGAAGAAGAGAGTGGCACAGATACCAGTGCAGGTGTCTGTGAACTTCTTCAGCTCCTCTTCATCCACCTGGAGATGGCAGAAAGGAATGAGATTATGCTCGCATTCATTGGTACACGTGTGCTGTTCCTACATACTGAGTGAGAGTATACTGTGCCTATAGCACAGTGGTTTGAGGTTTTGTCTTTGTTGAAGATTTGAACCGAGTTGCCCTGGTAGCTGGCTCAGTTGGTAGAGTGCTCACCTAGACTGAGTGTTGTGGGTCTGAATCACACCTAGGGCAGCTCTTCTTCTTTTGGAAAAAAGAGCTGTCCTGGGTGTACTTGTTGTGCCTTTGCCTTTCTACCTCGTAGTTTTCACATGTACCTTGTATACTGCACATATTCTTCCTTTGGCACACATTTGCATAGTTGAGTAAATACAAGGCAGGTGACATCCTTTCTCTTAAAAATTTACTAGGACAAGAGTACTCTTCCTATTGGGCAGATTCCTACTCCAGATATATGCTCCATTTTCCCTTTTAAGGTGAAATCATCTACCCCACAGTTCCCCCAGAAAATGAATATCCCTATTTGGGTGTGGTAGCTATGAATTTCTACCACAGCCCTTGTTTACTGCTGCCAGTGTAGAACAGCCCATAGTGAGCCATGGCTGAGTGTCCTTCTTCCTCTGAAAAAGCACTAGAGAAACTGAATGAAGAGTTGACTTGTCCAATATGTCTGGACCAGTACACAGACCCCAAACTCCTCCACTGCTTCCATGTCTTCTGTGAGAAGTGCCTGAAGCCAGTGGCACGCCAGACCTCACAGGGACAGGTGGTGGAGTGCCCCAACTGTCGCCACCTCACCTCCCTGCCCCAGGAAGGAGTCTCTGGCCTGCAGGGAGCCTTCCTCATCCACCACCTCTTTGACATCCAAGACATCCTCAAGAAAGTCAGCACCCCCGCTGGTACCAAGTGCACAAAATGCAAAAAACGAGACCCAACCTGCTATTGCCGGTCCTGTGGGTTCCTCTGCGATGCCTGCAAGAAACCACATTTAGAATGGGATGAATTTTCCTCTCACGAGCTAGTCAGCCTGGACCAGCTAACAGCAGACGCAACTAATCTTGTGCCTCCAGTCCAGAAGACTCTGAACTGCTCCAAACACCCAACCAAAGAGCTGGACCTCTACTGCGAGACTTGTAAAGAAGTCATCTGCCAGTACTGTGTCTTGAAAATCCATCGCGACCACCAGTACGATCTGGCAACCGACGCATTCCCACAACAGAAGAAGGTGCTGGTTTCCTCAGTTGAGCCAGTAGAGCAGCAGCTAGCCTCGGTCAACAAGGCTCTGGAGGACCTCAAGTCTCTGCCCTGGGGAAATCACCAGCCAACGCCAGGCCTTGGAGACCAAGATCAGGGAAGAGATTCGCCTCGGCCACCAAGCTCTTGAGGCAAGAGAAGAAGTCCTCGTCTCACAGCTGGACCAGATGACTCGGGAGAAGCTGAAGAATGTAGCTGCCCAGCAAGACCAGTTGGAATTGGTTGCCACTCGGTTGAAGAGCTGCTGTGGGTTCTTGCAGGAGAGCCTGAGAACTGGCAGTCAGGTAGAAATCCTAGCCATGGCCAAACCTTTCGTGCAGCAGGTCCAAGACGTGACATCTTCTTTCAAGCCAGAGTCCTTGGAACCAGAGGAACAAGCTAACTTGGAATTCAACTGTAGTCAGAATGAACTACTTCAAATGTGCCAGCAATACGGACAAGTCATTGCCAATACTGTATGCCACGCCAAAGGTGATGGACTCAAGTTGGCAGTGGTAGGAGAGAGAACCACAGCTACAGTGGAGGTGGTGAACTGGAAGGGGAGGAAGTACAGTCGTCCAGTGAAGGTGAGCTGTGAACTGGTGTCCAGTGATGGGTCCAGGCGAGTGAGAGGAGAGGCAAAGAAAGTGAGAGACGGGGAGTACGAGATCAGCTACCTCCCCCAGCACAGAGGACCACACTACCTCCACATCAGAGTAGGAGACAAACACATCTCAGGAAGTCCATTCCCTCTCTCTGTCATCACCACCACACCCACCAATATCATCACTGGTGTCAAAGATCCTTGGGGTTTGGCTCTCGACAATAAGGGACAGTTAGTAGTAGTTGAAACTGACGGACACTGTGTATCAATATTCGGTGACTCTGGAGAGAAAGTCAGATCATTTGGCGGCCAAGGGCTATGGTCCAGGTCAGCTGATACAGCCATGTGGTGTAGCGCTCTCTGCAACTGGAGATATCTGGTGGCCGACCAACTCAACAATCGAATTCAGGTCTTCTCTCCTGATGGGAAGTCAGTGAAATGTATTGGCACCAAAGGCAGTGGACCTCTGCAGTTTGACCAGCCTGTAGGTATTGCTGTGCATCCTCAATCCAAGAAGATATATGTTACAGATACTGCTAATGACCGAGTCCAGATCCTCAATGAAGACCTGACATTTTCACAAGACGTTTGGCTCCAAAGGCTCAGGCAGATGGGCAGTTCAAAAGGCTACTTGGAATCGATCTTGACGGCAGGGGCAATGTATACGTGTCTGATACAGACAATCGCAGAATTCAAGTGTTCAGTGCAAGTGGAGAATATATTCGGCAGTTTCGAAAAAGAGGGAATGGTGAGGGAGAGTTTAAAGAACCGAAAGGAATAGCACTTGACTCAAACAACATTATTTTCGTTAGTGACTCAAAAAATCATCGTATCTCAGTCTTCACGAAAGAGGGAAAATTTATGAGATCATTTGGTACAAAAGGCGAGGGATCGGGGCAGTTTTCCTACCCCACTGGAATAACAATTTCAAAGAATGAGGTGGTCTACGTTTGTGACCAGAATAATCGTCGTGTTCAAGTTTTTTAATGCAATTTGACTTCATACGTACATATTCAAGATGTAGTGCTTAATATACACCCTTAACTTTAATAGTGCATTTGTGATGGTAAAATTTTGTGCGTAGAAAAAAAACATTTACGTACAAAGTTCGTTCAAATTTTGGTGAATCTGACATTATTATGTACGTACCTGCCCTGAAGAGGTAGGGGGAAGAGGTCTGTTAGTAAAGACATCACGACGCAGCATGAACACACATCTGTACACATCATGGAAACTCTTCTTTGCTTCAGCTCTGGGAATAAGCAACAAGCACCAGTCTTACTGTACAGAATATGCATAAATGAAAGCTGCTAAACAACCCTAGGAGCAGAAAAAAAACAGCAAAAAACATTTACGAAGACATTAATATTGTTTTTTGGCCACCTTGTTATGTGCAGTGACATAAAACAGACAGACGAAGACTAAGTACCATACTTCTCATAAGATCTTTATATACGGCATATCTATACAGCACGTACCTGGGAGTGGAGCGGGCGTAGTTAAAGAGCCCAGTGTGTTTGAGAAGACAAGCCAGAGCTGCACAGGAGACCTGCCGCAGCTGAGGAACTGTATCCTCATCAAAACTAGTGTTCCAGTCTGCAAATAACCATGACAATACCAAGTACATAACTACAGTACATACAATTTCATACGTAAATCAAAATGTACGTTGTACAATGTATTTCGTTACTGCAGGATTGCAATTCAGCCCATCCTGTTAACCACACTCAAATATATATTGAACCAAACAAGTTGCGTAGTAGAGCAAGAAAGGAAGTCTAGAAGAAGAATCTGTTTAAAATCAGCTACAGTCAGACCTTTGTGTCTGGCAAAGTCCAGCATGTCCTGGTACAGAGTCTCCACTTCACTCCTCCCACCGCAACCGAGAGCTAGAGCAAACAGAGGGGGCGCAGTCTTCACGTCCGTGGGGACCACATCCTCCCACATCACCGAGTTCACAAGTCGCACAAACGGCATTCCCGTCGGTTTGGCTTTCACGGCCTCAAAATCGACGTTGCACTTGGTCCAAGGACTGAGGCCGTCTGTTGTTCCTGGCAGAGCCTTGCAGAGAGAGGCCCACTGGTTCATGGCTGGATGGAGAGGAAAATAGTGATGTTTAAAATACATAGGTTTTTCAACTTCATCCTGAATTATTTGTAAATGTTGCATGCTGAGGAGTAGGTAAGGAACTCAAAACCCATCATTCATCCATACTATGCCCGTTGGCCAGGAACGAGATACGCCAGCCACAAATAGTCTCCATCCGAAACGTTTCGCGGAGAAGAAAAGACTGTTGACTTGTATGTAACTACCAACATTCATTCATAAAACAGAATGAAAAGCACTAAAGTGCAAACCCTCGGCGAACTGGGGATGCGCGGTACCGCTAATTGATGGGCTGGGCTGCTATTACTCGTGGTCTCCCGCTAGTAGCTCGCAGAGAGTCTGACATGGGCTAGCTACAGTAGTAGATAGTATGCGAGAGTCGATACACGCCCTTCGTTGTGACTTCTTGTGCCTTCAAGATACACAGAGCAAGCGGACCCGGTCGAGGTTAAAAAGCCTGTTTAAAATATAAGCGCATGCGCGTTTTCCGCAGCGATAAAAATGGCCGACTACGCATTAGCCGTACAATAGTGGAAGCGCTCTAGCTCTGCAACGGAGCATTTTCTGAGAAAACCGCCGTTATTTTCTGACCTTCGCCGCCCGTTGGGTAGATGGTATCGTTTCTGGGACGAACAGACGTTCGAGGAGTGAGATATAGAGTAACAGACAAACAGACAGACAGACAGACCCAACTACTGTACCCTCGCTGCGCATGTGCGCCGAGGGTAATAATCCAGCACTTCTACAGTGTGGTCAGTCACAACTTCCCTCCGGTCTGCTCCTACACTGTCTCAGTCTTCGTTGGTCAACCTCCCTCCCATGCAAGGATGCAAGAAAGTTCTCTCTCACCTTCCATGATCTCCTCGTTGCCCCCGACTCCTCCGCTATTGAGCACACCGCATTCCAGCAGCTTCATCTTCCCCTTTGCCACACCGTACATCAGAGAGTCGTGCTCCGAGCTCCTCCCTCTCGTCTGTGTTGAAAGGGTTAATTAGAATATCATATAACGTATAGTGGGGTAATCTAGGAGGGTGAAATTTTCGTATGTCAGTCACCCGGAAAATTATATCGGCACGAAAATTAAACTGCCTATGCACTACACATGATGTGATCCGAGGATACACATACAAAATGTATATTCTGGGCCAGAGAGGCTGTCGTGAAAGTTTCTTCCTCCCTCCAAAAATGGTGCCCTTACAATACAGAACATTAGCTGGTCTGACTGTAGGACCCAGCATTGTATTGATGTCCTCATAGTAGGTAAACTGTAGCCTACCATCATGTTGCCCATGAAGACGATGCTGTTGACCTTGGCGGAGCTGAAGCAGAGAGCTCTCTCTAGGTCCATGACTTTCCTCCATGGCTCTCCCTCCTTCTCCCTCAGCCGAGTCAGAGGAAACCCCTCTGGTTTCAGGTCTACACAGTCGACAGGCAAACGAGGGATAAGTAGTATATACTTTACTCCCTTAATTCCATGCTTTGCTCAAATATACTGTATATTAGACTAAGGACCAATACGTAGTTTCTAGTTTCATCTCTGCGGCAGTTACAACTTCGACAGGGTTAGTTAAAGGGAGTGTGAGAGTACTAAATTTGATAGCAACCAATTTCCATTTTAGCTCTTATATGTACTGCCGCATTTCCTTTAATGTACTGTAGAAGGAAGACAGTTAAAACCTTACTTCTAGGTTCCCAGTCAAGTTCCTCTCTCTCAAACGAATCGACAGTTTCGGGAGGGAGGATGGAGATGACGCTGTGGACCATGCGGGCCAGTTTGAGGAAGGCTGTGGCGATGGAGCAGACATACTCTATGATGTAGACATGGCAGCTGACCAGAGCCATGTGGGCGGGCAGCTCGTTCAGGAGAAAGCCCGTCAGAATATCTGTATGGGGATGTGACAGCAAGCAATAAAGCTACAATATTCGTAGCTAGCGTTTTCTATGGGGCGTGATTAGTGTAGTTTTCTGGCTAGTAAAGGCGACATTATAACAAAACAAAAAAATGTATGCCATGAGAGCCAGGGTTGAGTTGCATCTCTACATCATACAAAGAATGGTCTCATGTAAAGGGAGGGGGTTTACCACTCTCAGGTTACTCTGACCCTGCTCTGGACCATGCACACGCACACACGCACGCACGCACGCGCACACACACACACACACACACACGGTGAATGATGCGTACTCTGGTGTCTGTTGAGGAAGTCCACGGGATCAGGTGACTCTCTGGCAGTGGAGGCCACTCTAGTCATCAGAGGTAGACAGTACTCATCCAGCAGTCTCGTGAACACCTTCAGGTGAGGCAGAAGAGTCTCGACTTCCTACACGATACACACGGAATGGAGATTTATAACAGCTGAGAGAAAAAGTTAGGCAAGCAATAAAGGCAAATCGTTCTCTATCAATCCATTTTAAATGCTGTCTGTGTGTAACAGTTCTAAGGTGGAGCCTCTTCTTCAGCGAGTGCAATAGTCCTTCCAAACGCCTATGCGAGGCACTGTATTATGAGGCAGACTACCAGTACGGTACTTGCTGCTTCTGTTAGAGAATTATGGTGCGATTTTGCACTGTTGTGAGTCCTTAGAATTGGGAATCAAGCATGCGCTGACAGACAGTCTGAGCTATATGCAGTCTATATGAGAGAGCTAGGTAACGGAGACCTCCTGAGTGGTGTCTGTGACAGTCCAGCTGATGGTGGTGGAGACGAGGGACATGATGTGAATGAAGAAACAGAGAATGAACTCCTCGAATGAGGAGAGAAGAGAGGAGCCAGGAGTGAGGTACTCGTGAGACGGTTTCTCCTCTTTGAGAGATACGATCTGGGAGAGAGGGGAGAGGGGGAGAGGGGGAGAGAGGGAGAGAGGGAGAGAGGGGAGAAAAGGAGCAAAATTTAGTAAGAAAAGAGAAGGAGAAAGAATGAAGTTATGAAATGACATTGAGCAGTTCCCCAGGCAAGCTCTTCCTTAGGCAAACCTTGTGATGGCTCAGATTGGTGTAACAACGATATCACATGTAATATCAGGCTCAAACACCTTTCATCGCAGCATCCAATGTAGACGCCACCCACAATTAGAATTGTGGCTAAAGCATACACACAAAGACACCCACTGATAAAATATAGTGTCTTCCAAGCATTGAACATTGTAGCTTAGCTGTGAAGGCAAAGTTGCATGAAACTTCGGATGTATGGGTAACATATACCATGCAACGGAAGTAGAAAGAATTCCTATTTGGATGGTGGTCTATCACATTATAGTTGCATGCAGCTTTGTCTCATGCAGCAGAGTCGCATCGCGTGTCAAAGCACATGCACACACAGAGCTACCCACAATGGAGTGCTCCAGGTAAGCAGTCATGCGGAATACGAGAGTGTAGAGTTTGGAGAGGCGAACGGTGCTGGCCGTCCAGCTCTTCCTGTCCTTTCTCTTGAACAGCATGTCCTCGTTGCCTATTATCGCCACCATTTCGTTCCTGTTCTTGAATCCAGCCAGCAGAATTTCCACCTGACGGCACTGCACACACAACACACACACACACACACACAACAGGAAAGTAAGATAATAATGTCATTGGGTTATGGTTGACAAGTTTGGTAAAACACGTAAAGTGAAGAGAAATGGACTCAGAGTAAATGTGATTGTTTTAATCATGACTTAATGCTCATAGGATTGGCTCAATCACTGCTCATCACTGCCCATCGCAACTTCATGGTGCCATGCAAACACGTAGCAATTTTTGTGATGCTTCAGACCAATGCTACTGTTGCACAATTATGCTATACAAGAACAAAGTTTGCATACAGATTTCCGTGCTGTTGAAGTATTAAACTGCTTTTTCAAAGGTGCACACCCATTGTCAGTGTATACCTGTCCAGCAGTAAGTGAGGCAAAGTCTGAGGGGTTTTCAGGCAGCGCAGCCAGGAGGAGGTCCATTCTGTCCAGGACTGGAGGAAGGAGAACCGACTGCCCTATCTCCAGAGCTCTGCTTGCCTCCTGCACCAGTACAGTCCATTACATCATCATGACATAATCCACTGCCACATGACATGATATGTACCACACTAAAGGCTAACTAAGTGAGTCCAGGTATAATGACTGGAAATCCAGTTACACTATGCAGTGAACTCTCATATTAGGTGGGTGTGGCTGACTCCACCCACCAGGTCAAGGTCCGGAGGGAGGTGAGAGTCCATGAGTTTGAAGAGGAAGTTGCGGAGGGGGCGGACCTGAGCCCCGCAGGCCATGTGGACGCACTGGGCTCCCAGTGGTACCACCAGGGAGAGGTGGGTGTGGGTGAGGGAGAGAATCCCCAGAGAAAACATCTCCTGAACACTGCAAGTGGAGCAATCAGATACTGTATGTATACAATGCATAATACATGCTAGCAGTTACATATAGAGCCGAAAAGTGCCAGTTTGCAATATGAGTGGCTAACCCAAATTTCTCAAAACAAATTAGTAGCAATCAGCCAAGGAGGAATTCAACATGTAATTATTTAGCACTGGGGTTTAACACCAGCCAAATAGTATATGTGTTAATCCACTTCACGATTACTCATATCTATCTGATTGTGCTGCAGCAATATGTATGTACACCTAAAAGTGAGGCACGTCATAGAGACCATGTACGTACCTCTTCTCAGTGAACGGAGGAGGGAGCTGGTCATTACTGACGTCCCCATATTTGGTGAGGAAGTGTGAGAAGGTTCTTGAACGTCCTCTCTCCCACGTTGATACAGTATGGCCAGTGCCACATGGAGCTTGCTCGCCTGAAACACACACAGAGTTGTACATTTTCATATTCTTATGGGCCCACTGATTTTTAAGAGAGGATATTGGCTCGCTTGCAAGACTACCCTTCTCTCTGTAATCCCCTCTCTCCCCTTGCTACAACATACACTTCTAGCAATAGAGATGTGGCTGCAAACATTTACCAAACTTTAGCTATAATGTTAGCTACGCACAACATTCAACACCTTCAGTTTCAAGTAACCTCCACAGAAACCTATCCGTGCCATCATTTACACGAATATCAAGTTGTATGCAGACCATATGTACATAAAAATCAAATTCTTAGCAACTGATTGTGTGCAATTCAGATGTGCTTGTATAGCCCAGTACACGGTGCGTTATAATACATAAACCCCAGCAGACCTATCGAGGGGAACGGCAGTCCAGACGATGCTGTGAGAGGTCCCGGCAGTGATCTGCTGGACCTGCTTCCCCTGGAGTCCCTTCACCTTGGCCGGGAGGGTGATGGAGCCAGTGCTGTGGGCCTGTCCACACTGACCCATACTGTTGGTCCCCCACGCATACACCTCTCCTCCTACGGCGAGATTCAAATATTCCTTATCATTGGATGTAGGGAGCTTTGGAAGATAGAGTCCATAACCAGTTTTATGGGAAATGAAACTGCAAATGTCATTTTCGTGGTTTTAGTGTGCTGCTTGCTGGCTGACTACACTCATGTACGAAACTTTTTAACAAAGTGATTCGCGAAATTTTGTCACTAACTTACACAGCTTTCTCCTAATCCCTGTTTGTTGCACACAAATTCAGTTTCATAGGAAAGCAGGTGTTCTTTTCAGTTTTGCAATTGTTACTGAACATGTTCTACCATCCCTCTCTCTGCACACTTGACGCATTTGTCGTGAGCGAACACGACGCGAAAAAGGAGAAGACAGAAAAAGCTGCATCACTACTACTCCTGCGTACTCTGAGTGAGTGCGAGGCAGTGTCCGTCTCCAGTGACGATGTCGATGATGATCTCTTGCTCCAGTCGTTCAATGATGACTGGAGTGTACTGTCGAGGCTCCGTGTTTCCCTTTCCTACTCCGCTACCATTGCCACACGAATACACCTGTCATGAGGGAGGGAGGGAAGAGAGGAGGGGAGAGAGGGAAAAGAGAGAGGGAGAAGAGAGAGGGAGAGAGGGGAGGGGAGAGAGGGAGTGAGGGAGAGAGAGGATTAAGAATCAGTCACTATGCAAAGGTCTATGTACCACCACACGTGCATGCCAAATACATAGGTTCATTAGCCATGTCCTGATAACCAATTCAGGTGAATGGTGCTACTGATGGGTCCAGGTAACAAGACAACTCGGGTATTTCAGGGTATGGTACACACCCACCAAATGTATCCATTAGAGGCAGTGCATGTACACATTATACATGCAGTGTTATATGTACATTGTATGTATGTACCTTTCCAGCTGCTGAGAGGACGAGACTGAATTGACTGGAGGCACAGACTTTCTGACTTAGAACACCTCTCAGTGCTTCAACCACCTGCACACACATTACATCATCACACTGAAAACAAAGTCCCCCACTTTTCCCGATGCACTTTCCAGTTCTGTCTCTCACTCTCTTCCTCCTTGCTTCAATTCTTCCCCCCTCTGGCTCCCCCCTCTCCCTGCTCCTACTAGTATATTGCCTTTGTGTCTCCCTTAGTCCCAATCTTCCTCTTCCCCTCCTCTATCTCCCCCCTCCCCCGGACCTTGGGAAGCAGTTGTCTGTTGGTGTCCCCGTGGCCCAATTTCCCAGAGTCCCCAGCTCCAAACGACCAGACTCTCACGGAGTCCATACTGAGACACAGGGTGTGAGAGGCTCCGCAGTCGACCTGGCGCTGGCTCTATGTTCTGGACCTTTGTGGGTATCTTCAGCGTACCAGTTGTCCCGTGACCTGTTCGAGGAACAAAACTAAAAACTTTTACGAATGGCGCGATTTTGTGGTAAAAAGTTCGCTAATGCAGTTGGGTGGCATACATGGTAAGAGCAAAGAAAAACATTTACATATTATTGCCCAATTGAAAAATCTCAGTATCCACACAAGAAAAATTTCCTCACATCATAGAGCTATTTGGTACACAAGGCATGTATGCCGTATATTAAGCCCTGCATGCCCTAACTTGGCTAAATGTTACATACAAGCATGGCTACTCAATGAGTATAGAAAATGCACTTCAACAGCTGTCTTTCTAGCCCTAGACTCTGACCTAATCTCCCGTAGTCCCCCTCCCCCCAGGTATACAGCTCTCCGTCCATGGTTGCCACGGCGCTGTGTCGGTTGCCACAGGAGACCCAGCGAGCCGGCTTCCCAGCCAGTCCCTGGATCGGTAGCGGAGATTTTTGAGTCATATTGTCACCGTGACCCAGCTTTCCATAGTTGCCTGAGGAACGTCAGAGGACACATGTTTTATGCAGCAGCAGAGTTCAACGGCCAACGGTTCAAGTGCCAAACTTTAGACTCCGATGATTTTAAATCGCGCAATTTCATTGGTCAATACGCGAGATCTATTATTCGTAGATCCGCTGCCAAGGGAGACGGGATATAATGAAGAGCAAGCATGAACTACAATGGTCTTAAAGTTGCAGTAATACATCGCATTATGAACATAAAACGAATGCAAAATTTCAGTGGTGGCAATATGCTATGTGGCATATACAATGGTGCGTAGATACTGAAAGTGAAGTAAGTAGCAGTGTATATGTATTAACTGACCATCTCCCCAACTGTAGCAGTTCCCCTCCGGGTCCACCGCAATGGAGTGGCCGTCGGAGCCCCGAGAGGTGGCCATTCTCTTGATCTTTATTCCAGGAGGGAAGTCGGTGATCTGCTTCAGAGTCGGCTGGTTGTCACTGTTGTTCAGACCCAACCGACCATAGCTGCCCTGTGAAGGTTGATGAGTATTAGAATGGAATGTATGGAATGCTGATGTTAGAATATTAATTGTCAACCTAACGTAATTTTGAGACCAATGCACATGGTTGATAAAATTATTTGCAATCACCATCTAGCATAAAGGTTGATACACCACGTGCCAATACACCCTAGCAATTGGTAAGAAAGTTTGTCAACGTAATTAATTCGGAGACGAATAAATAAGATTGTTCTAAGTTATCAATCAATATCTCCATAGCTGTGTAAGTCAACGTAGGATCAAGTTTATGAAACCTTCGCCAATATTATGAATGTTAGAGGCAAGATTTCTTGTCCCGGACACTTTACGTTCATGAGGAGCCCAAAACATGCTCGACACATCTACAACTTTTATAATCATCACGGTGAAAGAATTGTGCACTTACCTTGCCGCATGCCTTAACAGTGCCATCTGCGTATATCACGAAGGTGCAGTACTGCCCCGCCACCACCTGAAACAAAGTACGATACATTCGCTGAAAAGTGAAATTGCAAAGTTTGGAAACAAAAAAGCTTCATCTTGTGTAAAATATGTTTTAAGGGGACATGGGCCTTCTTAAAAGCACTTCAGAGTGGCTTAAATTGTCATAATTTTAGCAAGCAAGTATGTATAATTATACAGGGAGGAAAACACTACAAACCACACTGAATAGCAGAAATGCTCATGCGTGAGTACGGTGGCCTAAACTTTTCGTACTTTTAGCAAGCAAGTGGGAGGAAGGACAGGGCAACCAACCTTCCAAAGTATCTTGACTATAGCTGGAAGGTGCAGTGCAAATAATCTTCAAGAGTAGGGTGGCCTAAACTTTTCGTACTTTTAGCAAGCAAGTGGGATGAATAACACAGCCATCAACCACACTGAATATCTTCATTATAGCTGGAAAGTGCAGTGCAATAATCTTCAAGAGTAGGGTTGCTCACCACTTGACAATTTGCCATGTGAGGCACATGAGTGGCCTCCAGGACCTTTTCCTGACTGCCCATTGCAAGCTGACTGCTGCTGTTGCTGCCAAAAGCGTAGGCCTCGCAGGCCTCCGAGAGGAATCTCTCCTCCTGCTTCCCTGCCACTCCCCTGGAGAAATAGTCTGTGCAACTACGACACAGGTCTGCCAACTGGTGGAGGATGGGGGTTGGGGATTAGGATGGGAGAATGAGAGAATGAAGAACAGGGGGGACTATATAGGTAATAAGGAAATGGGAAAATTATGGGGGAAGTGGGGAATAGAGGAAAAGGGGAATAGGAGATTGGAGGAATGAGGAATTATGTAAGTAGGAATAGAATTTGAGAATGAAGGGATAGGGACATAGGATAGGGGACTATCATGAGTGAATGACAAAATCAGAGCTCTGACAACAGTTGTAGTATTTTGACAACTGCAAAGGCACGCAATTAACTAGTCAAATTTGCATATGTTGTTACCTCTTGAACAAGGAAGAGGCAGAATTCCAGCAAAGAGATGTGGCCATCAGATGAGAGGTCCTTTGGCGCAAACGGAACTCCCTCTCTTGAGGGAACAAGGAACGTCACTTGCTGCAGTAGAAAAAGAGGGAGTATGTTCTGATCTGTTAGTTACTACTACTATTTCCTCATCAAAGAATGTGTGTATATACTACGCAATGTTATAAGGCACACGCCACAGGACCACAATGAGTCAGTAGCACACCAACCGTTCTTGCTCTAATCTCCTCCAGTACGCGATCACAAAACTCCCGCGACAGACACGGAGGTCTCTCTCTTCGTCCATCCTCCCCCTCCTCCCTCTCCCCGTAGCTAGCCAGGCAGGTGAACATTCTGTCCACCCACAGCAGTAGAGAGCCGAGGGTCCCGTACTGCAGAGCTATGCTGATAGTTGTTTCAGCAGCAAGCCTCTTTCCCTCCTCGTCAACCATAGACTCGGGAGATAGGACCCACAGAAGGAAATCCGTGGACTGCTTGAGGCAGCCAACACCGAGACTAGATATGGAGCGTTCGTTTGAGAAAGATAGTGGAGGGATGGCTTGGAGGATCACGAGAGTCGAACGGAGGATCTCGTTTGGGAGGTTGATTGTGGGGGCTCTGAATTGGGTGGGGGAGGCTACAGCGAGGGTGGTGGTTGCTAGGGTTCGTTCAAGCTGTTTCTGCCAGGCAAGCTGCTGCCAAGCCTGCCGCAGGAGAGCAAACATCATCATCAGCGTCGACTTTACCCCGATCTCGACCAAGATCTCGTTCCCCGAGAGTTTTTCCACCGAGAGTCTCTCGATAGTGTCTGTCTCGTCCATCTCCTTCTCCCCCCTGTCCTGCTCCGAAGTTTGCGACTGGATGGCTCGGCGAATGTTCCCATCACTGTAACAGTGTGCCTCACACGCTCCCAGCACCCTCCTCCACAGACCAACCCGACGCTCCGCAATGGCCATACACGGCATGTCGGTCACCGTAGACACTGCTCGTCGGGTGTAGTAGGCTATTTCGTCCGTTACGTTCTTCTGACCAGTCTTTTGGAGCCGGTTTGCGCCGAAGTCTGGAAAGTCGTGTTTTTCGGCCGGTGAGCGGTTGAACTCGGGCATGAAGAAGACTTCGTGGAGACGGAGCATTTTGGCGATGAGTTCCTCCATGCCCCTGTAGTCCAGGAGGCGGGAGATGTCCAGATTGATCCATTCTGGGTGGGACCCTTCCTTCCCCCGCACCTCCATCCTCGTCTCCAGATACACAAACGGTGAGGCGGTTCCTCAGATCTCCGCTAGCAATATCGTCGACGTGAAAACGCAAACAACGCTGCTAAAGATCTTCAGTGGAGAAGAAGACTGCAAGATGCGGGGCGGATTTATGCTATTCCAAATAGCGCCTGCCTTTTCGCGCGCAAGGAATTGGCCCCGCCCGCCCCCCAAAACTATCGCACATGCGCGCAATAATAATTAGAGACCGTAGAATAATGACATTACATCAAAAAGAGAAAGGAAAAGGATTACAAAACTGAATATCTTCCTTGTTTCCTGGGTCCAACACGAGACGCCATTCTCTGGGCTTCCTCCTTTATCACCCTCTTGACCTCCTGTTTCGCGAGAGCCACAGACCGCTCGGACTTTGCCTCGATCTTCAAATGTAGCGCCTTCTCTCCCTCCTTTGGCCGTGCATTGGGAGGGATATAGATGCCCCTGACCGAGATGTACGACTCTGAATACTCCCCGACATCGTCCAACACTTCCCTGGTGGTGATTCGAAATCGTATCTGCTGAGGGAAACCGTTTATCTCGATCTCTTCCTCGTAGCGCATGACCTCCTTGGTGGCTCCCGGTTGCCCGTCTTCATCGTCGTCGGTCGCTCTCTTTGGTAGAACGGTGCCCACTGGGAGGTAGTCTGCCTTGGCTGGGCCAGAGCCGACCTTGGCGTTGATCGAGGCTGCAATCTGCGAGGCTAGAACGGCTCCCGTGACGTTTACTTCCTCTCCTTTCATGACAGAACTCGCCGCCTCCTGAGCTGCGGTAACGGTGCTCCCGCCGGCCACTATGTTCTTGCTCATCAAGATCTTGTCTGCTATCCGGCTGGCCGCTGCGAGCGACTTTGAGGCAGCCAGCATTGGGAGGCGGAGCTCGTCGATTGTTCATCTGTGGAGCGTTAGGATCCACCAACCTTGCCCGTCCACTAAACAGCTCCTCTAGCGTCTTGTCCATTGTCAGGAGGGCAAATGCATCCTCGTCGTCAGAATCAGCCAGCCCCAGTGCAGACTTCTGTTTCAGCTTGGCCTCCGTGTCCTTGGCGGCTTCCTTTGCGTCAAACTTGAATCCTTTCCCCGTGAACCCGATGGCTCTCCTCCTCTTCGTCTTCATCTTCCCCTCGATCTTTGTCCCCTTAATGGTTGCGTGGTAAACTTTCCACATTTCCTCCACGTCTGAGGGGACTGCAGCACCCGATAGCTCCAAAGCCTTGATGATCTCCCCGGAAAACCTCTGTTGGGACGGCATGATGAAGGTGTACGCATATCCCTTGTTCCCCGCCCTCCCGGTCCGCCCACAGCGGTGAACGTAGTCCTCGTAATGATTCGGGCAGTCGTAGTTCACAACTAGAATCAGTTCCTTCACGTCGAGGCCACGAGCGGCGACTGAAGTCGCGACCATTAAGCTAGTTACACCCTTCTTGAAGTCGGCAATGGTCATATCTCTGTCGTATTGATCCATCCCACCGTGCAGAGCCATGCAGGGGTACCCAGCTTTCATGAGGTCTCGCACGAGGTTGTCAGCGGCTGCCTGTCGCTCCACAAACACCAGAACCCCACCCTGCGACTGGTAGATCCCCAGGAGCTCCAGTAGTTTGAAAAACTTTTTTTCTTCGTCGATTTTTATCACCGACTGATCGACGTCCTTGCAGACGACGCTGCGTCCACCGACTAGGACCTCGATGGGTTTGGAAAGAATCTTGCGAGCAAGAGCCTCCATTTGTCGCGGGAAAGTGGCTGAAAACATTACCGTCTGACGGTCTGGGCGAACCATCTGGACAATCTTGGTCACCTGAGGCTCGAAACCCATGTCAAACATGCGGTCAGCTTCGTCCAGTACGACGTAAGTGACACGACGCATGTTTGTGACTTTTCCGTTGTTTGCGCCGAGCATGTCGATCATCCTGCCCGGCGTACACACGACAATCTCTGCACCTCTTTTCAAGTCCGCGATCTGATCGCTGATCCCCGTACCGCCGTACACGCAGACGACTCGCAGCTTCAACGGTTTGCAGAACTTCTTGCACTCTGCGTAGATCTGAAGAGCCAGCTCACGAGTCGGGGAGAGAATGAAGGAAATCGGACCGTCTTCGTAGTTCAGTGGAGGTTGGTCGAGAATGTGCCGGAAGAGGGGCAGCAGGAATGCGAGGGTTTTTCCGCTGCCCGTTCGAGCGATACCGATGAGATCCCGACCACACATTACGGCAGGGATAGCCTGGGCTTGGATTGGAGTCGGTTTCTCGTAGCCACACTTCTTGATCACATCGAGGACTTTTGCGCTGAGGCCGCACTGTGCCCAGGACTTGAGCGGCTTCGGACAGTTCTTCCCCTTCACCTTGATGCTCCCCAGGTCCTCCCTGAGTGCGTTCACTTCCTCCGTTGTCATCTTGGCAAGTTCGGGTACCTCCACGTAGAAGTTCTTGCGAAACGCTTCGTAGGTGATGGACTTGTGGTTGATCTTCGGGAGGTCTTTCTTCTTGTTCTTCCGTGCGATGCTCAGCAGGGCGGAGGCTAGTTCGTCGTCTCCCAGATCTTCGTCTGAGTATTCCACAGCATCTTGGTTGTTCTGCATGAGCTCTCCCTTCTTCTCTTGACCTCCTTTCACCTTTGTGACATTGATGACGGTCGTTTTCTCGCCGTCCTTCCCCATTGAATTCAGAATCATCTTCGCCTCGTGGTTGATGCCCTCCATGAAGGCATCCAACGGGTCTAAATCGTCTCCAGCCTCCTCTTTCGTCTCTTCTTCTTTGGCGACCTCTTTCATCTCTTCTTCTTTGGTGACCTCTTTCTTCTCCTCCACTTCTTCGCCTTCTGCTACCTCCATATTCTCCCCTTCCTCCTCCTCCTCCTCCTCTTCATCGTCATCTTCGTCGTTTTCGAGCGTCCACGCTTTCTTTCTCTCTTCCTCCATCTTTTCCCTCTCCAACTCCTCGTCCTCCTGCCGTTGTTTACGCCACGCCTCGAGGCGTTCGCGTCTCTTCTGCATCTCCTCTTCCAGCCTCTTCCGCTCCGCTTCAACTGCAGCTATGATCCCCTCTTTCTCGGTCTCCATTGTTCCACTTCCGCTGTCCGCCTCCTTTTCTTTCTCTTTTGTCACCACAACCCGAGACACCGTCACTACTTTTGGTTTTTTACCGCCGCCATCTTCTTCTTCCTTTCCCCCCGATCCGTCTTTATCCCTGCCCTCTTTGTCTTTCGTGTCGGTTACTTCACCATTTGATTTCGACTCAGCCTGAGACCGCTCCTTCTCCTTGTACTGCTTATCTCGACTTCTGTCACCGCTCCTACTCCTGCATATTTTACAAGGAAAATAGCATACATACATGTATGTACATGCCACATTGAGAATTGTAAGTGTTTGGTTTGAAATTGTAGTACATAAAGCTTGTCAGCACAAATTTTGCAGGCTTGAATCTTACAAATTGTAGCACACACTACTCTAAAATAATGTGCTCAAAACGCACCTGGAGCGAGAGCGGCTCCTCCGGCGTTTCTTGTCTCTGCTCCTTCTGACTCTGTCTCTGCTGTCAGACCTCGACCGATGCCTGTGCCTACACATGTCAAAGAAAGAAAATTGCAAAGTAACAACCGTATAGGCCAATGAACATCACTCTTAAATTTCTCAAGTATACATAAAAACCAGTTGAATGTTGTAGCCTCAATTTAAGTCGTTCATGTTTTGCTGTGTGTATGCTTAAAAAGTTGCTATTCAAAGGAAAACCTCAATGAGTAATACAGAGTAAGATATTGAGAGTTATGGAATCACCTGTCTCGACTGCGACTTCGCGACCTCCTCCGCCTCTCTCTCCCCCTTCCCCTGTCTCCCCTCCTCTCCCTCCTCACCTCCCCCTCCTTCTTCTCCTGACTGCCTCGTGTTGCCCGGCTCTCTGACTCATTCCCTTCCTCCCCAGATGAGGCAGATGGGCTGGACTGCCGAGTTGGAGAATCCGCTTTATCGTTTCGACGATAGTGTCGCTCTTTCCTCTCTTTCGGCATGGCGATCCTATAAAACAGCAACACATACTCCCAACGCAAACGTAAAAGAACACAGCAGCTACAATACAACGCTTTTAGCAAGTTCGGAAGACGGATACAGACGGTAAGAGCACTAAGAGCACGAGAGACTGCTAGGCTCACCTTTACACTTGTGTGTATCTCAGATCGCCTCTCACTCTCCTCTCGAATTAAACAACCGCCACACGTTGACCGAACGTTATGTCAGTGGCAAAGGGGTTAATGTTTTGTCCGATAACCCTTCCTCTGCGGAATTCAATGTCGATAGAAGAAGATCAACTTTTTTACGTGTGTAGCAGCGTTTGCTGCAGTCGTACACCTGCTATTGAGCCTTCACTATGTGGAACCTGTCTATTAATGAAGGTAGAGTTCACTAGGTCAGCAGGAAACCGCCCCACAACCGTCTCTTCCAACAGTATGACAGCAGAGAGAAAGTGTTAGTTCAGCTCTCCGCCATTCGGTGTCTCTACTGCAGCTTTTCCCCGACACAATCGGACCTCGATAGATGTACGTGATATTTCTTATCTTTGACACTCGACTGTGTGGCTATGTATATACCTAGCAGCTAATGGCGCAGACTTCAAGACGTTTTCACTGGAAGTTGTACATTTCTTCTCATGTCATTCTCAGAGCCTCTACCATCTCCTGGTGAACTATATAGTCTCAATGCATGACGCTCAGTGTATATGTGGCTCTTCTGCAGATTGGGTACTTGGAAAGTCGTGACCAGTTTATTAGTTTTGCTGCCAGCAAGGCTCTTATATATGTGATGCTGTACTCCGGAGTGGAGGTATATATTCATAAAGCGTTCGCTAACCCTATTTTTACATTTTTTTACTTGCACCACAGGCACATGTGATTGAAGATATTTTCATCAAGCTTCAGGCTCATATAGACACTCATGGTACATTACACAAGCTGCTACAGTTACTATATTATTATATTATATTCAAACACTTTCACACGTCTTGTAAATGATTTGTTACTATAATTCAAACACTTTCACACGTCTTGTAAATGATTTGTTACTATAATATCCAAACACTTTCAATCTATATTCAAACACTTTCACATGTCTGGTAATTGATTTGTTCAGGGGCAGATACTGCTTACAGGGACCATCGAGAATTTCTTCAAATCTTCGCAAGAAACAATCTAAACCACCAACCCGAACACAAAGGTGATACATTAGGAATACGTGATCGCCTTGTAACATTTTGGTTCTCTGTTGCAGTTAGTAACAGTCTACAGGGGATTGTCGGAGGATCATTATCATGCAAAGGGTATGCAGACCACCCACTCCACACTTGCAAACTATTCCTCAGCCAGAGACCCCAGCAGAGACTCTCGTATGATATGAATACAGGGACTTCGGCAATGTCTCGCCAGATTCTTACACTCACTACAGAACTACTTCGCCACAAATGTGATAGATGTGTCCACCGTCTCTGTTACCAGACAGTATTGCCACCGCCAGGCCTCATAGCCCGTAGTCTGCAGCCTCTTTTCTCTCTGCTGAGAATTCGCGAGCGTGTTATTTAAAGAGGTTATCGATGTGTTGTAAAGTTGACTGAAGCAGGTTTTCTCTACAAAGAGGTTTCAATCACCTGGACTGCTCAGGTTCTTACAAAGACTATTCAGAATACCTCTAGCCCAGTCTGTTTCTGGTGAGTGGCTAGAAGAGACATGCCGAACTCCTTCAACGACGCTTTCCAGAGACCACATCTTGCCGCGGATAATATTTGCGAAGTGAATCCATTTGAAACTTAGCTGACAGGCACGTGAGAAACTGACCATCCGCTGTTGGCTTGGATAGTTCTTGTATCTGTTGCCATATCTTCTCAGAAAAGAGCTCCTATTGCTTCAACACAAGAACCACCTTTCAAAGGTATGTCCGCGCGACACCTCCAACACTAATGACCACCCAAAACAAGTACCGACCTGCGAAATCTGACATTCTAACTACAGACTCTGATATAACGGTTGTTCTCTTTGGTGAGGATCTGAGTGGGGTGTTGTTCGTTTATCTTCCGTGGGGACATTGCTCTCACCACGGTCATCGTGTGTGCGCTCTGGACCACGGTATGACCCATCCCCACTACACCGTGGTTACTCTACCAGGTGGTGGTCTGACCGAAGACAGTGCGTGTTTCACACCCTAAAGGCCTCTACATCAATCTTTAGACTCGCCACTCAAAAGTACGCATGTTCATGTCAAAAAATATGGAGGTTTTGTAACAAGGGACATTGTGGGTAACATTTAGGATGTCAGCAGGCTGAAATGTCCTACTGCAGAAAACACGGTGTCACCTCGTCCCCCCTAGAACACCCAAGACCCTAATTCTATTTCTAGCACATTTTTACACGTGCTATAGTCTCAAGGTTACGAATGCTCTGGGTGTTTTTTTGACATCTGACAGGTCCAGCTATACTGGAGCTTGTTACACTGGTCTCCCCTAAAACACCAGTTTCTCGACCGCGCTCGTGCTAATCCGCCCCACCCTCTCGGCGCTGCTTCCTCGAGGAGAACTGGCTTTGACCACCTCTCATGCTTGCCCGGGAACCCACCTCATCTTGACCCCCGAGATTGACTCGCCGTCTGCTTCCCCGGCTAATCTGACGCTAGTCTGTGAGGCTTGGAGTGGGTTGAGGAAAGGCAGCCAGGGACTCTACCCTGTTGGGTTCTCCGATGGCGAGAGAGGATATAGGAGATTATTCTACTCCGTCTTCTGAGCTGGAGCTGAAAGAGGACGTCCATGGAGGATTATCCGGCTTTAGGAGACAACCCCTCACTAATAGTGTGAAGCCTTCCCCTTCATCTGTGTAAAAAGGAAACCTTGAAAAGAGAGGATGAACCCAAACAAATCACTACCTCTATGATGACAGGGGCCACTAGTGGACTATTCCTCTTCATCTTGTAACTGAAGAGGAAGACGCTGCAGTGGCTGTTGGTCCTCCACACCTCGGACCGTACAAAACCCCCCCCTTTCCTTCAAGAACGCCACGTGTTTAATCATGGTGTTACAACAATAGCTCAAAACCGCCTCTATCTTCAACCAGTGTACCAATACCTTCTCCCCCTCTCTCGCCACCCATCTTCTTCTCTTCGTATCTGTTTTTAGAGGCAGGTGATGGTTGCATGATAAGACTCAGAAGGTCACTGGAGAAGGACTGGGCAGACTGGGCAAGAGTGAGCTTATACCACAGGACCATTGCCAGCACGCAAAACTCATCTTACCATTCAAACAGCCGAGGAACTCTATGAGAAAATTTATGACACATAGTTCTTACTTTTTCATGGTGTTGTACCATTCTTCCGGCACGCAACAAGTTGTACAAATATGGCAAGCGAACGCAAGTTTGGTGTTTTAAGCATAGACGTACAGTCTAGTAATGATTCAGATTGTAGTTGCATAAAGTGTTATGATGTGCTAGATATTCACTTCGTGCAATTGCGCAATTCGAAGCTATGTAGGGACATGCGCACGCTTTGCTTAGTATGACCAATGGTAGCAGACTGAGCTGTGGAATGTATGCAAAAACCAAAGAGCACTGTGGGTAGCGTGAGCCTGGGCCAAGAGTATAGTCAAGTGAAGCAGTTTCTGAAATGAAAGCTGACGACATAGTCGTTACAGAGCCTTCTGGATAGATCTGACAAACGGGTTCTGAGGGTGGAAGAAGATGAGGCCACAGGCGGTCTGTTGGAAGCCTGGGAGCAAGTGGAGGATCCTCACAGCTGCGTTCTACAGTTGGAACTTGAATTGCCCCCGCCTCCCTGGAGAAGAACCTGGCAGACAGAGATGCCAGCGAAAAGTGGATAAAACCCACCTTTATTGTGAGGTCGTCTGTGAACGAACCTACACACATGGCATGGAAACTAATAAGCCTTCAAGGTGTTGAATATTTTGCAGTGGGACCAATTAGAGGAAGTGGGATTGTTCTTGGTAAAAGAGTGTCTGGTGATTATACAGGAGTGCAAACTGGCCTTTGTTTCACATTTCCCCCAGTTCAGATTAGGATGGAGTGGTGTGGCGATTGTAGCTATTGAGGTGACTAACTTGATAGGGGTATATACACACGGCTTTGGGGTATCTCACGAGGAGATTCACACTTGTCGTCGTAGTTAGAAGAGAGCCAGGTCGAGATAGGACTGTTAGAGAATGATGCGAGCAGACCGGGAAAGATGACCAAGCAGCCTAACGAGTTGACTCTGTGTGCCCCAGTTACTAGCACACCTAATGCCTCTTCTGGACTTTTCGTGCAGTGTTCTGCAGTGTTGGTTGTTGCTAGGGAGCTCATGTCGCGACAGAGAGGGTGAGCAACTGGATATCTGAAACTGTCACGTGTCTCTCGTACATCTCAGGGAAACTCTCAGACGTATTTTCGTGGTGCTAGGATTTCGTGGTTTCTGAGTCGTAGAAAGAAGCGTAGAGACAATTGGGGGCGAGGAATTCGGACGGTCTGCGTGATTGTTTTCTCGTTTGCGTTACTTCAGCAAGAAGGCGCCTCTCCCCCGCAGATGCATCTTTGAGAGGCGGAGGACTTGAAGTTGAGTATGTTGAAATGGTTCAGCAGCCGGGAAACGGTCAGGTCTGCGAGGAATGCTCCTCGGCCCGTCTCAGAAGAAAACAGAGGAAGCGGTGCTGAGTGGGTGAACCACGCCTAAGCGAAGGAATCTGTCGCCAGAACTGCTTATGGTTCGATCTCGGTTCAAGTCGGGGAGAATCGTGTTGATCTCGGGGGATAGCAAAACGCGCCGAGGTGTCTTGAGGTGTGGTGAGAGTACCGTTTGATATCTCGAAGAGGTGGATTTGTCTGCTGTTGAAGGGAAGGCGGGCAAGAGCAGAGTTACACAGAGAGAGGCCCGGTTGTGCGAGAGTTAATCTTGTCATATTTGAACGTGGCGAATCGTCACGCACCTTTACCGAGATGTCGACGATTGTAGACAGTGTTTAGTCTCCAGGGGGCAGAGCGAGCTGGCTACTTGAAATGGCCTCATGTTGCCCAGTTATGTCAGGCATGTTTGGGTACCCATCATCATCGATTGTTGCAAGACGGAGTGACCACATTGCCGGATTGGCAGTCGTCGGTGATTTGAAGGGCTACATCTACGATCAGTGTTCGCCATTCTGCGCCAACCGTATCGTGCAGTGTACTTGAAAAATTTGTCAAACAGAACCGAAACATTCTGCTCCGATTGCCTACTCCTGAGTACAGATAGGAGATGCACATGCCCAAAGGTACTCGTACACGACCCAAGTTCCCTCTGGTCGTGCGAGAAAAGGGCAGCAGGAACCGCCCAGCCGGGGGGAGAACTTCCCAGAAAGCCTGGGGGACTCAGCCACACCTTGCTCTGTGTGGTTCGGGACAATGCAGTGGTAATTCGAGCGTGTTAGGTGGTAGGACTTGGCATGGCCCAGTGTAACCAGCAATGTCTCTCACCAGCTGTGCACGCGAGATTCTGTGAGCGGCCCCGCACCTACACGCCTCAGGAACCTCCGACTCCACCTCTCTGTTCATGTCGTCCTGTGGTGTGCTCAGGGACGCTTCCATTAGCTCGGTGTCGACAGTGGGCTACGGAGTTAATCCATTAGCGAGCCTGTTCAGCAAGCAGCAGCAGCACCACACCGTAACTTTGCTGCCGACGAGTGGTGTCCTCGTTGTTCGGTCCGTTTTCTTGAAGGCTTGTGTGTTTACTGCAAGTGACGACGTGTGCCTCTACTCTAGCTCTAGCTAAATGCAAAGTCAGCAATAATTAATTGTCCATTACGATGATGCGTGGGCGGTCTTTTACGACCGTCGAACGTCACTCATCCATGAATGTCTAATTTTCTGGCGGTTTGCTTTTCCGAAGCCGGGGTTATCCGAGCGTTCAAAAGCGGGATCTAGAGCTGTTTGATGAAAAATACTTGTTGGGCGCGCTCAGTGGCGGCAGGCAGACCGTGTGACACTGGTATCGAATGCCCCATTCTTCCTCCCCGACCACGAGGAGCTGAGAGCGAGGACAGGTAGCCGTAACCCCATGTGTCCACCCCTTATCCTGCAGTCTTACCGCGCCCGCTTCGCCCCGTTGGCGTTGTACTCTCCAGTAGGTTTGTGTTGTGTTTATTGAAGGGGGCGTTTATTAGAGACTTTTGTATGGGTACAGTATTCACTGCCGTCTCTGATGCGTGAAGCCGTTGCCTCTGTAGTGAGAGAGCACTTAGCATTACTGTTGTAGGTGTGCATGAGAACGCAGACATCATGTTTGGTTTTTTGTTTTATTATTTAGCAAGTGAGATGCAATTGCAATGGTGAAGTCAGAGGTCAAGTGTTTTGGTCAAATTATACAGTATGCCTTCCCTGTATTGAGGAAGTAATGGTTTCTTAGGCATCATCAATCAGTCTGTATTTCAGTGTATACCTAATGTGTGGAGCATCTTGGTACGTGGGAGATTGTTCCTTTGATTGGTTTTGCGAGGACACTCACCAAACCACAATCTCCTAACATGACATGACTCTTCTCTTCTCTCTTTAGGGCTTTGCCATGACTTTTAAGGGGCTATTGTACTACTATGATTAATGTAGTCTATATGTACAGCGTATGTGGTACTATACTGTACATACTGAGATTAAATAATCTCCTCCAGCAACCAATTGCTTCCCCAAAGTTTACACAGTCAGTAGTTTTGCTGGCATTTCCTCATGCCATCAAACTTCCATACCAAACCTTTACTGATATTACAGTCTTTGTGGGAGTTTTTTAGGCCCATGATGGGGACATAGAACTGATGTGGGGACCCCTCAATGCAAGTTTTATCCATGTGTCTGTTGCTTTCAGTTCTGGGTTAGTGAGTGATGTGTTACCCAATGGCATAGTTCACCAGCTACCAACACACCCCTCCTTATCTTGGGGGGATAACCTGGCAAATCAGAGTGTCATCAGTGTATAGTCCCTAGGGAATGGGAGGCATTGAATAGTATATAGCCCACCTGGCCATGCTCGGTACATGTGTGTACATCTGTTCTTGCTTGCATAGAATTTGCATCATAGGCACCCAGTCTGTTTGCTGTATATATGGATCAAGTAATGGGCAGGATAATGTAGAAAAGGCTGACACAGTGCTGTATATATAGCTGTATCTTTATACTGGTGGGTGTACTACGGTATCTTGCTCAACGGCCTGCATGTCATCATCAAGAGAGGGTCAGATTTTATATACTGTTGTGGCATGATATCTATTCTTGTCGAGCTGCATACTGTGTGATGTAACCCTATAATTCGAAGGTGTAAAGTGTTCGCAAACAGTAGTTTTTTGACGATTCACGGAAACAGTTGTTCGTATCGTTGATTGAGAGACACCTCACGAAAACCACAAATGCTATTTCAATTTTTCACTCATTTTGACCGTGTATTGTTCCTCGGTGTATAGTTACTAGTACAATGGGATATTCTCTAGGGACCTGTGTTTCTCTCTCTCTCCCTCCCCAGCGCTACCTCACCAGCTTCCGAGTACTGGAACTAAAAGAGCTACTGAAGCAGTGCGGCCAATCAACAAAGGGACGGAAATCGGACTTGTTCCAGCGCGCAAACGACATGCTGCAATTCGGGAGTCCCAAGATTCAGACCAAAATTAGGGAGATTTACGACAAGTCAAACAGTCGACGACAGCTCAGTTACGGAAGATCGGGGCATAAGATTTGCTCTCTCCGGTAAAGAGCGGAGAGTCAGTGATAAAGAGCACCTCTCGGGCACACATTGTGCATCCAGATGTGAAGTTTAAGGCTCATCCCTTCTTCTCCAAGTTGGAGACCATCATAAGACCCACAGCACTGGGTTAGTTAGTTTTGTGGCTCTGGATTGGTATGTATGTAGATTGGTTTGTGCCATATCTATTGTACAGTAGGTAGGCAGAATATGTTGCAGGAGGTGTGGGTACAGTGTGAAGGAGGGACTGCTAAGAATTTGTTTGCTCCCTTGAAGTGTGTGTGTTTGTATGTGTGTGCACGCATTAAGCATTCTCAGTGAGCCCCCCCCCCTCTCTCTCCTGCAGTATCATCCGCAGTGTCAGGCCACAGCAGTGTGAGTATGAAAGTAAAGTTTCATCTCACTCCTCAGCAGATACACCAGATATACATCTCCAAGTCAGTAGCCATGTATAATACAGTACATACAACACTGTTTGTAACCCACAAGGCTTGTACATGTGCAATAATAACAGCTAAACTGTTGGGTTTGGTCATTTTAAGTACGTACGTACGTACGTCTGTGAAACAGTTTTTGTGGTAGTTTTAACTCATAGTGTCCCATTCCTTCCTGAACAGGACATCAACCGGGACGTACCAGACACAGGTATTAGTGAGGTCAGCCATTCATCTATAAAACCACACGGCTGTATTTTACCGTCTCTCCCTACGATGCCAGGTTTTGCCTCCAAGAGACGACTTGTGACCAGAACGACTACTACCCCAAGCAGTGCTACGTGAACGTCAACAGTCACAACTGTCCCATTGCTGTGAGCTCTCTCTCTCTCTCCTTATTCTTTCACTCCCTCTCTGCCGTACTTTACTCCCTCGTCCCCCTCTCTCCTTCCCTCCCTCTCCACCTGTCCTCACTTTCTCTGAGTTCCTATGCCGTTTCCCTTTGAGGAGGGTGCAGGAAAAGTGGCAGAAAAGAACAATGAAAAGCAGGCTTGAAGTTAATTGCACTTCCTGTAGCTTGCCTTGTGACAAAAATGTGTGTATGAATAGGTGGGAGCAAGCTGTTTGTTCGCAGCGTCTATTCTTCCCCCTCCTCCCCCCACTTCCTCTCCCTCTCTCTCTCTGTCATTCAGGGCTACCATCCTCACCTGTCCACCAGACCAGACTACAAGAGAACCGGACAGCCTGTTAACATCACAAACTTTGTCAAGACGAGTCCGACTGAGATCAATGAGGTCACCATCTTCTGGGCCCCTGACTTCATGCTACCACTGGTATATACATATACTAGGAATGCGCACACGCATATTTTGCCTTGCGCCTGCCAGCCAACAAGTAATCCTCACCCTGAAATGGTGTCTTAGTTTTAGAGTATAGTCCAACACCTGGGTGTAGTATAATAACCTTGACTGAACCTAAGCCAATCTCAACAATTTTTCTCACAACAGTCTGTTTTACACTTTAACTTCGCAGACCACAACATAGATAATCTTCTCAGTGCAAGTCATAGACATGGTGCCACAAAACAGTCCACAGAAACTAGAACACTACTGGATCAGCCAACTTAAATTAAAACACTGATACCTCTTGGACTTAACTTCAGCCCAGGAGTCCATATAATATAGAAGTAAATGTAGGATCGGGCCTCCAACAGAGGCGGGAGGCCCGATCCTCCCACCCCTGTGGGTTTTTTTACTCTCTCTCTCTCTCTCTCTCTCTCTCTCTCTCCATGAAGGGCTACTGTGTAGGTATAGAGATTTCAAAAGTCGTTTCTTCGTCTGATCTCCTGCAAGGTCTCAAGGCGAAGGGCGTGCGAAGTTCTGATATGTCAAGAGCACTGGGTACGACCATGTGTAGCACATTTTGATAGTTATATAGCACAAGTTTGTAGCATTTGAACTGTAGTAGTGTTCGTGTTCCAGCGTTTCCACAACCTGTTTCCACACATGATTGTTGTGCAAGATTGTGACACTATTTTCTCTCTTACGGCATGATGCTACCTGATGTATATAATATGTCCGCTACTATAATTATACAGACAGTAGATTAAAAACTGTATGTATGCTGGCTTATTCTTGTATCTCTCATTCCAGTCAAAGGGAAGTTTACAGTTGATAAGGACTCTGAAGTGGCTGCTACTAGCATGAAGGTGTCACTCCTTTGCCCGGTGAGTCGTCTCTACCATAGCTGTACTTGTAGCTTTGTCTATGGCAATCCCTTCCATAGCAGTATATAAGGTAGATCTTAAGCTCTTAGGCTGGCATGAGGATGTCTACGTGATAAAATTTTTACTGGCACTGTAGTATACCTTAGAGTATGGAACCGATTCTACAGCTTTTAGCACTGTGCTAAACTGCATTAAACTACATTCAACTGTTCTATGTCCGAACTAGTAAACCTATAAATTTCCTCCTTAAAGCTGAGTGTAAACATGCATTCATACCAGCCTTTGTCAGTGTGTTTGCGGGATATACATTACAATACATCTAATTGGAAGTGAAAGCAGAGCTACCGCTATATGGATGCTATATACAATCACAGAAATGGGCTGCTTCCAACATTACTCATCCAAGCACCCCTAGCTCTTACCCCAGGGGTTTAGAAAAGCACTCTATTTACTTAACTCTCCAGCAACAACTCCCAGTGTGTAAATTTGATTGCCAACGTTTGTTTATCCACTGTAGATTGGAAAGATGAGAATGAGTTATCCATGCAGGTAAGCCACCAAAGAAGGAACCATTGTTTTTATACATAACCTCCCCCCCTGCTTGCAGTGTGTACTGTTTGTCTGTGTGTGTTACTATGCATACCCATACCCCCCCTTGTGTACCGCTGTGTGTGTGTGTGTGTGTGTGTGTGTTGAAGATAGACGTGATGGTGTGTTTTGTGGACGATTATTGTTTTGTTTCGTGTTCCGCAGAACCACCAGCTGCACTCACCTTCAGTGTTTCGATGCCAGCATCTTCTACCAGATGAACGAAAAGTGAGTCTCCTTTTGCACTCCACGCTACACCACTAGGCAAATGAGTGGCGAGCAGGTCAGAGAGTGCCTTTTACAAACAGCACTTGTTGAAAAATTCACAGTTGACTAATGAAAAAATGCATGCACAGTTGGACGATGTACTAGTTTTCTCAGTGTATTGCCATTGAATAGTCCGTGTGGTAATTATTAGCATGTCATCTCAATGCTGACTTTTCTGTTTATCATGTGACGGGCATTGCACATGTACCATAATATTATTCTAAATAATGTGAGCAGAAAATTTAACTATACTCATATATATTATAGTATACTGCTTGTTAGGATTCGCTCTAGTGTTTCTGAGTGTGTATGAATTGGGCTGAAAGTTGCGTTACTCACTCACCTCAAATGTTTCCCACTGTACCACATACATAGTAGGGTAATCTCAGATTTCAGTCCCACACTCCTGTGCTGTGTATACATACAGCTCCTTATTAGTTTATACAGTGAGACCTGCCATGTGTACGTACATAGAGGAGTACTATGATATACCAGACTTCAGGATGTTTACACACACCTTAGACTATGTGTGCTTCAGTAGCTCATGTTACCATTTCCTCATTGCCTTTTCTACTTCCGCTAATTAGCATTCCTCCCTGCTAGCCTCATAACCTCTGCTGCACAATTATAAACTTCTGTACTTACATGTATGTATGTATGTATCTAAACTTGTGTTGATATAAAGTATACTCATATAAAACTCCGATTTTGAATTTTTTCCCTGGCTTTTCCTGTTAGATGTCGTTAACCCTTGACCTTCTCTTCCTTAGTGTGATTGATTCTTGTTGACCCTTGACCTGGGTGTTAATTACATTAGTTAACCCTTTCCCTTCTCTTCCTTAGTGATTGGTTCTTGTTAACCCTTGACCTGGGTGTAACTCTTTCCTTCCTCTCCCACAGACGGGCGAGGTGGGTGTGTCCGGTATGCGACAAGCCAGCACTGCCTGAAGATCTGTTCGTTGACGGGTTAGTAGGAGGCTCATTTCATTTTTTGTGTGCACGACTCTATACGTAGCTGTGGATGGGCGAAAATTTTAGGTTTGGCTGAAAAAATTTGCATGGGTGATGATCTGCATAGCTCTGTGAATTGAGGCTTCTAATGTGCAAGTAAGAACCGCTGAGTTGGCCATACACAGTTCACAGTAGGGCAGCACTTCTGGTCTTAACAGTAAATTACATGCAAGTGAATTAATATCAGAATGTAGTTGGAAGTTGTAATTTTGACTTAATTAGGAATTGTTGCCTTACCAAGATGCAAAAAGTAGTGTGACTAATAATAAATGGCTATAGCAACTATAATTATACTGCTGTGTAAGAAAGTTCTTCTAGACTAATGTAATTATGTCTCCCAAAGGGGTTAATGGAATGGAGGCACAAAAACCCGCATGTACGGCAACAGAAGACACATCTCAATAAATTAACGGTATGTAAAATGTATTATACAGGCTGTTCATGGAGATATGTCAGAACAGTCCGTCCTCTGACACTATCATAGAGTTCATGGCGGACGGCTCGTGGAAACCATCCACTGAGACCTCAGGTGAGACCTCCGGTGCATTATACTGTACTGCATGGAGTTCATATGTACATCTATAGTGGTATGTACAGTATATAACCCTGTGTAGGGAATGGGGACACCTCTCTTTTATTTCCCATAACAGTTTCTTGCATGCAATTTAACCCCTGGAATAAGGACCCCTCACACTTACTTCCGTTCCACTGGTGTGTGGTTAAGCTGTAATTGACGAGGTATTAGTACCAGGTAATGAGATTACTTGGGAGTTATTTCTAGCTAGAACCACTTGCACGTAACAATGATTTAGTAGGAAATGAGACGCATGAATGCAGATGCTGGTCGTATTCAGAACATAGCCCCTTTTGGCATTCTCCCACATGTGTGTGCATGGGAAATGTTTGCATTGTGGTGTACATAGGTGTCTCAGCATAATCTTGGTGGGTGTAGCTGTTGGTAGTCACCATTTCTCACCACCTCTGGAGTGGGGTAATGATTTCCATGCCAACAGTGGTGGTGTTGTCATGGTGTTGTCGTGGTAGCGGTGTGTAATGCACATTCCGCTGTGCCTCTGTCTTCCCTACTACAATCTCTGTTTCTTGTCTCATCTGCTGTGATACCTTTGCCTGCATACTGTTGCTGTGATATCTCTGTTTCTTTGTCTCATCTGCTGTGATACCTCTGACTGCTTACTGTTGCTGTGATATCTCTGTTTCTTTGTCTCATCTGCTGTGATACCTCTGACTGCTTACTGTTGCTGTGATATATCATATGTCTCTTTGCCTGCATATTGTACACGTCTACGTTTACCTTTTGTACGTATGTAGTATGTCTGAAGTGGTGAGGTCTTTGTGTCTGTCTGTCTGTGTTTTGTGCAGGTACCTGTCTGAATGTGGACACTCCTGAAAAGAGAGGAAGCTCTCCCATTTCCCTGGATTCTTCGGACGGTTAGTTCGGTTCTTTCTTCTTTACAAATCAGTGTTTACTAAGCGAAAAACAGTAAACCGTGATCAAATAACCGTTAGTTTACTCCAAAAAGTTTGGTTTGTGTAGAGCATTGACCTAGACAGGCTCTGTGCGTGCTTTCTCCCCCCAGTGTTTCATCTCTTCCGGTTTGCAGTTATTGGTTGCAGCAAATTGAAATATTCATACGTCATTCCTCCCTCTCTCCCTCCCTCCCTCCCTTCCTCCCTCTCTCCCTCCCTCTCTTGCTCGTCCATTTCTCTCTCCTCCCTCGTCTCTCCAGGCAAAAGGAAGAGCGACATCGTTGTGATTGATTTGACTGCCAGTAGCGACAAAGAAGACAATGGTGGAACCACGCAGGTCGACGATGAGGAAGAAGATGAAGAAGAGGAGGAGGAGGAGAGACAAGAGAGGAGGAGGAACACATCCAGCCAACGTGATGTCCATTCACTTACCACAGAGTGAGTTTATCATAGAGTTTGTGGAATATTATGTTTATCAGTACAATTTTATAGAGCGTGAGTATAATTAGTACTATTTGTACAATAGACAATGACTTACTGTTGAGTCTGCATATATACTATTGTGGGAATATGGATTTGTAGCTATTAGTACTGTCTTTGTACACTAATATCAAGTGTATTAGTGTTTGTGTGTATGTAGTATACAGTATGAATGCGTCGGTACAGGCTTATCTCATTTGGGCCGTAGTTTGTTTGCTGCCCTGCTGTGTGCAAGGGTCGTGTACCCCACGGTTCGGGCTGGAATAAGTAGCACCTGTTACCAGCTGGTCCTCAGGGGCACCAGTAGCTGGGAAGTGTTTGTGTATGTTCGAACAGTTACCTCCCAACTGCTGCAGTATACCTTTCTTATTTGGGCTTTTAGATATTGTGTACACATGTACGTATATAGCGCAGGCTTTCGGTTGTTGTGTACGTTACATTTGGACACGTCATTGTAGATTTCTGAGAATTTTGTGCAACTCTTGAATGGTCTGTTCGTTCATTTTACGGGTGCCTTTGTGTGTTAGTGTAGGTATACACACTTTGTGTTTATAACACATGAGAACTTCCTTTTATGAAAATATGTCAGCAAATAATAAGGACACCTGTTTTGTGTATACCTATTTAGCTAATTTAAATCAAGCAATCTGATTGGTCTGATTGCATACCAATTGCAATACGTAAATATATATTTTAAATCAAGTGATCTGATTGGTGAATAATGTGGAGGCTCACGAAACCCTGTACCAAAGATCTTTCATGGGCGTAACAACTTCGAGTGGAGGACTATTTAATGATCTGTCAGTGTATATCGTTGTCCCTATTGCAGGAGACGGGGATCTGAGGACGCTGACTCTGATACTGGTCCCTCCTCAAATTCCTCTGCCACGGTCTCGGCCTCCTCACCCCCTGTCGCCCTCTCCCTCCAACCATCCGCCTTCCCCCGCCTCTCCGTGGCCCTCATTCACAGCGACCACGCCCCTTCTTCCTCCTCACACCCTCCCCTCACCACCTCATCCTCACAATCTTTCACCATCTCCCTTCCCACACCCTCGCAGGCCAGCAGAAGAAGATCACTCACATCTCCAACTTCATCCGCTCGTCTCCATCTCTCGTCCTCATCAGCTGTCTCTCCTGCAGATTCACAAGCCACTACCCCAACCGCAGCTTCTTCATCTCGGCCGACGTCAGTTATTATTGAGGGGCGACCTCACCCCAGTAGTAATAACAACCAGGACTCGGGTAGAGGTCAAGCGTAGCATGAGAACAAGGAGATCTAGCAGAAGAGGCATTTGTGAAGGTCTGTTTTATTGCCCCTACCGTCCCCTCTGCTTTCTATCTCCCCCTCGTTCTCTCAACAAGAAGAAGAACTGAATCAAAAACAGTGATTGACTGATTGATGCACAGTGATTCATGACCATGATTTTATTCTCCCAATATTGTAGTTTCAATTGATGACAACATTATGAACATGCTTCGTGCTGGTCTTTTACCTATGGTATGTTGAAGAGCCACATTACTGTATAATGTAAAGCGGGAAACTTGATTTTCCTGGCAAAATATTCAAGTGCAAAATATGGAGATTGCCGCTGTAAAAATAGCTACTGCCACCATCACCCTGAAGGGATACGCAAGTTCTCTAGGATCACAGCTGGCAGCAGATGAAGTAAGACCTGTTGTGGGCTCTCCGGATTCTTGTCAGAGGTAGAGGTGCCGAGGTATAGGTCAAGCGTAGCATGAGAACAAGGAGATCTAGCAGAAGTGTATGTGAATACACTCACCTAGCTGGTACCACTGGCAGGTCAGCACAGTGTGTGACTCTGTCTCCAATTGTTTGCTGGAAGTTTCTCCGTGCTACTACCAGCATAACAGATAAAAGATTAATTTGCCGGTTCGGTGTCATTCGGGAGGAAGTTGCTATCATTTGTGTTCGCAACTTTCTGCTAACAGAAGGCAAAGTTTATAAATTAATGTTCATACCTGTGCTGTTTTGTTTGGTTTTGCTGAAGCACCTTCATCTGTGTCCAGCAATGCTAATTTGTCTAGACAATCAGTTTACAGAGCAGAAGATACTGGGGGACATTGTGGAAGGAAGTGGGTATTATGCCAGTGTAGGCATACCACTTTCTTCTGGAGTGTTTTCCAGAGTCCCGCTTATCTTACTAGCCTTGACCCCCCTTTTCAATTTGACCTGATGCAGGGAAGGGCTGGTTTTTGAAACTTCATACTAGGCATGTATAATACAGCTAGGGGGCCCTATCCAAGCACCTACTAGAAGCTGCTTTTAGGTGTATGGTAACTTGCCCTAGCACATGTAACTACATAGTATGTAGCTTACATGCACATGTACACAGCTGTAGTGAAATACTGGCAATTTTCACAACCACTGACTCAGTGGCAACAACCCAGACTGCATGTCAAGTTTATACACAGTCTTCAGGAGTATGCCCAGTGGAGCCAAATTTTAGCCAGTCAGAGAGTATATGTCTATGGAAGGCTATGCCAACTAGCCATTTAGCCACTGCACTGTCCCCCATTGATAATGTGTATATACTCCAGATCCTACTCAATTGGGTGGAGGGTGAGAATTGTGCATGGACCACTGAAGACAACAGGCATTCTCCTGAGACAGCCTGGCACTAGCCAGATGGAGTAGGATAGAGAGGCAATGTATGTTGTATCCCAAGGCTCTGCTTGCATACCTGTCCTGTACTTTGAAGTCCCTGCATTTCATTGGTGTTTTGGAGTGCAAGCCACATGTGAGGTTACAAACAAACAGTGAGGTGAGCAGTATGCCTGAATTCCCTATAAGGAAAGCAAAGTGGGTGTTGATTAGGAGTGACTTCAGCTCAAGTGGGTGCCAATCCTGCTGGGGTAACATGTATATACCAAATCTGAAGTGTATGTAGGTGGAACACACTTCACTCAGCTGAGGTGTTATACTACCCAAAATACTCATACTGCAGTCTTATGCAGGGTCATAAGCCTGCAGAAGGAGAGTACTTTGCACTGTACCAACAATCCAGTTTGTGCATGCTTTTACAAAGCAGAGTCTGAAAAGGGAGGAGGCGCCTGGATAAGGAACCAATTAGGTTCTCCCTGCAATATGAGCTGGGTGGTTACTATGGAAATGATGTAGTCAGTCACACATTGTTGCTATGGTGAAGGTTGTCTCCCTCCCTCCCTCCCTCTCTCTCTCCTCTCTCGTGGTGGTGTTAAAGTTCTCATGGTACAAGGGGTACAAAGAGGTGTGAGGACACTAGGTGATGGCCTGAACATGTGACAACCATGTTGTGCCTATACACACCTAAACTCATAAACAAACAAAATCAACAAGTTTAGGTGTATGGAGAGGGAAGGGGGAGGGGGGAGGGGGCAGGAATCCATCGTGTGACTGATGTGGGTCCATATGCCAGTATAACACAGCATTATCATGATCATGCCATGTTGCAAAGCACAACCAAGAAATCGGACATTACAAACCATACCCTCTTTTCGGTGCACATGAGGGACTGGGAACGAGACATGTGAGCCCTTGCTCATGATTCTGTGACCATCAAACAGGGGGAAAAAAACAGCTTCACCTCACCCTGACCCCCTCCCCACATTCACCAGATAATTATTTTCCAAGGCAGCATTTCTTCTCCACTGCTTCCACCATGCTCGCTTCACCCTGTGTTGGATAAGACCACTCGCAACACAGCATCACAACAACAGAGCGCCTATAGTTCAGCTGCAACCCTGTACGGGGAAGGGACTCAGCCATACCGCGGAGTATCCGATGCCCCTGACCTCAAGCTCTCAGTCGTCTGAGTGGAATCCTGTTCCTCCCCTTCGTCTTCCTTTTCCTCCTTCCTCCTCGAGTTTTCTAGTTCGGGTGCGGTGGAGCAGAAGACCAGGCGCGGCCGCAAGGACTTGGAGGATGGAGCGGAGGTGGCCGTGTCCAGGAGCTGATGCGCCGCGGGAGACCGGAGAGACGAGGTGGACATGGAGCCTACAAGCCTTCGTTGCAGTTGCAGACCAGAGATTTCTCTCCCTTCAGCTCCATCTCTCCCCATCTTCTTTGGAGGGAAGTCCTGCCTCTGTCCCACCCCATATATACACTCCGAACTGAAAGAGTATGCAGTACATAATCATGTGGTATAATTATTTTTGCATACACCCGCATGTGTGCCGAGAGAGACCGCTACCTTGATTATTTAGCAATCTGATTGGCTTACCCGTGTTCCGAACATGGTGACTCAGCACAACCAAGAAAATGTACGTACCAGACCCTCTAGCATGTGAGGGTCTGGGCACGAGACTAGGGCTCACATGCACACAAGCAGTTCAAAGGTCATTCCATTTGTGTGTCTGTGAGCTGCTAGAAGTTTCTGTAGGTGGCAGCTGAGCGGGCTGTTGTTACAGGGTGTCAGTGGGGGAGAAGCATTATCAACAACCTACCACATATTTCATTTGTGTTACGCAGTTCATTTGTGTTACGTTGGTTGCCATAGAGTGACCTTTCTGGGATAGCTCAGTGAAAAAATGGCCATTTAGCCTTCGGTTTATTATACAGTGTATGCATATGTACTAGTGCAAATTCAGAAATGTGATAAGTTCACAGGTCGTCATCCGAGGAGCTGTCAGGTGCGTGCTGGTTCTGCGCAGCCTGCTGTTGGAGCATTGCCATGACGGTCGACAATTGTGTACTGAAGGTCGAAAATTGTGTGGTGACGTAGGCACTGAGAGTATCCAGCTTATTTTCAACAGCCAGCAGTCGACTTTCAAATGACTCCTCTGGCAAAACAGTCGCAGTTACTGGCATACCAGAGACAAAATTGCGGATGTACCCGAATACAACATCGAGTGCTCGTAGCACATCTCCGAAATATCGTACGTCAAAGGCCATGCGGGAGTATTCGAACACACTACGTTCCTCCAGTGATGGGATGTAGACAAAAATGTTCAGTGGATTGACTAACAACCCCAAGATTGGCAACTCCTGTTTATTTTGTAGCAGTCGTACAGCAGCTAACAGTTGGCATTCTGCTTCATCCTTTCGCAGGTCTCCTTTTATTTCCCCAACTAAAAGGTTGACTCCTCCGAGAGTCTGCAGTAGGATGTCAGGAACACCGCCAATATTTGGGTCTCTAGGCCTCTGGGTCCTCCTGGAGATGCTGGTCCTCGGGCCAACTCGACACCAATCTCTTCGAGAATCATGGGTTGTGCTCGGACGCACAGCCCACGTCTCACCGACTTCAAAACTTAGGTTGAGAAGATAGGTGGCGAACAGTTTTCCTGTCCCATTGCTGAATAGAGAGACGTGCGTCCGATGGCAGTGGCGCATCAGCGTCAGTAAAGGACTTAGGCACGGGGGGAAGATACCCAGTGCGGGGTCTACAACTCCCACAAAGCAACTGTGGTACGTCTCCGGACGAATGTTGTTCA